AGAGCTGTAGGCTATCAACCACACACTGAAATATTACACCGCACACATGATAAAATGAGATTATCAGATTGGATGGTGATGAATTTAGTGGGATTAAACAGTGTCTCTAAGAGCCAAACAGAGGCAATCTGTTCATAAACAGTGAGAATACAGCAGTACAGTAACACTAGCATTATAGGGCCTTGACTTTGTGTGTGTGTGTTATCTGTCGACTCTTCATTCCTCCTGCCTTTATTCCTGCATGAATGAACTGTACTCAGGAACATTCTTCCTCTTTCTCTCTTGCTGTCTTGCTCAGTCACTCTTTCTATGTGTAAATAAATGCCTTGGTGCACACATCTACAACACTGCATCCTTCAGCCAACAGCCAGACCTCACACTCATTAAATTGAATGTGGATCACGGGTTAATTAAATGGGCATCTGTTAAACGTTTGACCGAAATCACTGAGCTTTCCCTACAACTGACAACTGACAAGAGATGAGTTTGACTTTCTGTTTTAGACCATTCTGTCTTCACAGCAGAAATGGTGTGTTCTGGCTTTAGAACAAAAGTTACATGTCTGGGTTCAAAAGTAAATTGAGAATGCCTTTTGAATTACAATTCATGTTCTTGAATTTGAATTGAGGAGGTAGAATGCGGAATCAGAACTGGAAGAAAACTCCATTCCCAGAATACCTGTGTTGAATATCTTTGAGTTGCAATTAAAAAAATTCCTCATCCTGTCATTCGAAGTCAAATTTTAATTGAACTTTCTGTGAGGTGCAGCCATTTCTTCAGTTCTAGCTATTCATCAGCCTCATTTGAATCTAGACAGATTCAGGTTTCAACCAGGTTTGTTACAGCTTTCATTTTTAATGATTCACTATAGGAAATAGTCCCTTCACCAGCTCTGCACACTGTCAGCACACTCTGTGCTCTAAGAAAGCTGCGGTTCTTTGGACAAACAGCATAACAGAGGCCTAAAAACAATCAAGGGGGTGTATATCTCAACATCTGGCATGCCAGCTGCTGAAGGAAACAGCTGCTATAGGTCAACACTTCAGTTTTCACTGACTGCCATCCTTCCATCCAGGTTCCCTTCAATGAAATAAAGAGCTTTGGGTGTCTAAACAGAACATGAAGTGCCTTGTTCATTCAGCATCATCATTGCTGCACTACAGACAGAACAGCCCTATAATTCAAAGGAATATAGCATGGCATCCTTCTAGCATGGCTGCCTCAACATAGACACACACGCACACACACCTGACTTGGGAGGACAATTATGTAATCGGAGTACAGTGGGCTAGGAGTCTAGGAGGGAGAACTGGAGAAAGCACGTGGAGAGAGAGAGGAAAAGAGCGGAAGAGAGAGAGATTGCATTAAAATAGACTGCTACGCTATGGATTAAGCTCTCATAACTGGATACACACACAAACAAACTCATATATCCATTAGTTCTCAAAATATCTCGCAGAGAGAGATAATAAAAGAAACTAAATGTGCAGACAGCGAAGTAACATTATGAACCGAATGTTTTAAGGAATTATTCGACTCTTGGGCTGCTTAGCCGTATGATGCTGCTTAAGCCTGTTATTCCCTCCACATTCTGATATGAATCATCCTGATAAAACATTTTGCACTTTTCTTGAGGTCTAAATATAGATTATAAATGCTTTAAACCCATGCAGCATTGCCTGCCCACACGGTTCCTAAAACAAACACAAGCGGAGAAAACGCACAAAAGCCTTTCAGCCATGAAAGATGCAAAAGATACGTGTGTGATACAGCTCACATGAAGCCGTTGTGTGTGCGAGTGTGTGTGTGTGTGTATGTGTGTAGGTGGGTGGGTGGATTCCCAGCCCACGCTCCCAGTGCAGATGTTTCTAAATCTGGCCATTCTCTTGGTTTTCCCACTCTTTCCCGCACTTACGTAGTCATATTTTTGGATGCACATGCCTCTCCATGTGAATGTCGTGCACCAGCTCAGTGGAACCGTCCTGAAACTTCAAGTCGCTGATTGGACCATGAGATCAGAACCTCCAAACTATCTAAAGAACCTCCATACTTGTTCTGCAATCACCTTTTACGTAAGAGTTTCGGAGCTGAATCCAGTGCATTTTAAGATGGCTACAGAGGACAGGATTAGAGGCTGCTGGCATCTAGAGAGTAGGATGTAAAGTGAGTCTGTAAGCTTCCGTTTTAACGAATACGACAACATGCGCATATACGCTCAAGAATTTCCACTAAAAGACTGCATCTGTCTCTAGGGCAAATAACGCAAACTATAGTACGTCAATTGCAACATTAAGATGAAGTCACTTGCTTGCACTGGCAGTACACTTCCCAGATTTCCTTTCACCATTAACAGGTACATCAGATCTGTTGGGAGAGAAGGACTGCATGCTAATGCAAAAGGGAAATATCCTGCTATAGCCTGGCAATACAGAATGACAGCAAGCGTTCGACTTCCCACACCAGTGCTGACTGACTGATGTCTCAATGCATGATTGTGATATGTGTGAACAACCTCTTTACATGTGACAATATGTTTACATGTCTGGTGTTTCTATTTTTATTTACAAGGAATATGACAGAACTTATAATATGTTTGGTGTATTAATAGCTTCATATCAAATGTCAGTTACAAGGTATATGCAATGTACTTTGCTTAAAGGAAAACAGAGCAGCTAATGAATCAGTTTACAGAGACATTGGTGCAAAACCTTCTTTTCCTTCATTAAAGGCTTTTTAAAAAATGAAAGATGTTTAGAGATAATGTATTGTGGCTCTCAGCGTCCAACAAAGGAGTTTGATGCAGCATGCTGTCAGTGAAGTTTTCAGGAGCAATATTGTTTCTCCGTAGAGACAGTGAGTCAACGGTTTCAGCACTTCAGTGGGATGCATCCGAACCATTATGCTCCAACGCACAACTAAACCCCAGGTCTGCAAAAATGTGCTTGCAGCGTGAACACACGAAACACTAAGACTGACAGTTTGAGCAACATGAGTTCAAGGGAATGATTCAGCTGATTCGTGTTTTAGCTGATGGCAGTGATTCCGTAATCATATTTAATGAGAATACGCCTGTCTGTCCTCTAGAAGGGGCCAGGTTAAGGATAAGCATGTTGGAACACCATCGGTTTAACCAACTAGAAATGGTGAAATCCCTATCATACATGACCATCACTGTTCTGAGGTGAAAGAGGAAACTGTTAGACTCTGTCAAGAAACATAAAAGATTTACAGGACCAAAAAAAAAAGAGGTATTGCACATCTGATTTATAATTTGACCTGTAATCATGTTAAATGACAAAAGTGGTATAACATGAATTAGCTGAGTCTCTTGTTTCATTTTTATATAACATCCACACAAGAGTTTTGTCTATATTTACAAGTATCATGACTGATCAGAAGAGGAGGGATGTAGCACTTTCCAACTTTTACTGGACCAACAAAGATCACACAACTTGGGACAGTATACAAGCCATATGTGTGGCAATTATACAAACAGTTATGAGTTTTTAGCCTATGATTCATGTATTTCCATATTTGTTGACATTTTGTTTTGTTTAAAACTAAAATGTTTTTTTAAGTTCCCATTTAGAATTAAAATGCACGGCACAATAATTATTTTGAACAAGCACATTTGATTATCACCAAAAAAAAACTAAAATGTAAGTGTATTTTACACAGTGGGACAAATTGTACTAAAAAAAACTGAGTTACAGGATTCATTACAACACTCCCCTACTACAGTCAACCATATTTCCCTGCATAAAAAGTGTGAGAAATCTGATTGAACAAACCATGCAAAGGAATGTCACACGTTTAAAGACAACTTTATAGGCTAAACCCTGGATGGGGTGTGCAGTAAGACTTGGCCTCATAGGTGGAATTGTCTGGATGCATGTTTTATCTAACAATAAGCCCAAACACATAGAAATACTCTTCCCGCTTCCTCTATTGCTAATACGTGTAGTGTAGTGTGATTATAGATCAATATATCTTTATTGGATTCTCAATAAAACTATTTAACTATAGAGAAACCAAAAACAATAGTATGTTGCACAAGAAATGAAAGATGTGAGAGGCAGAATGAGCTCTCTGGACATGGTCGGCAGGCACCTGTGTGATCAGTGCGATCGGCTCACGGACACACCTCAGTATTTCCCCACAAGGAAACAAAATACGTTAGCATTCTTTCACGTGCTCGTTGACCACTCGAGAGCTCCACACAACACCTACAGCCTCAAACGAAACGTCGGCCTCCGCCGCAACCCTTCACGGCTTTTACGTTTTTTATCCTCTCGAACGCTTGACAGAGACCAGATTCGCGTCATCTCCGGCCTAGCGCACAAGTCTCGTCGTTTGACACGGATAAACTGCGCACCGACGATCGTATCTGTAAAAATAAATGAAGCGGACGCACGCGTTTGTGCGTGCGCGCGCCCCGGCACTTGACTACAGAATGCCGGTCGCTCATAATCAATAAACGAGAAAACTCGCATCAGAATCACGCACGATGAAGAAAACCAAACGGATTTGGCGCACGCACACGCGTCGCGCTTAAATTAAAGGTGAGCAGCTCCTAACGGACACCGTGACACATTTAGGAGAGCGCAAAATACACCAACGTCATTGACATGCCCGAGGCTGCGCTGAGGTGCTGGGTATCCCCCTCTGTCGCGAGCTCGCTCCATCTCTCCTGTTTCCATAGCACTGGAAAGGTGAGAGTCTCTCCGCGCGGGCGGACGGACAGCGGCGCGAGGGGGAGCGTCCATTAACTCGCAGCCTCCCTGGTGAATAAAATGAAAAGGAAAAAAATACTGCACGGTGCCGAAATGTCATTCTCGCGCTTTCGCGACCTCTACTCAGCTCATGTATATCCACCATCGCCAAAAATATCCCCCTCCTCCCTCCCTCCACCAAACCACCTTCTATTTTTCTAGCCGTTAACAGAGACCGTCGGTAAGCCAGAAGAATGGCGCTCACGGGAGCATCACAGTCAGCCTCACCTTCATCATCCTCAGGGTCAGTCCCGGTCCTGGATCAGTGTCCTTTCCGCAGGTTCGAGCCCCCGACGCCAGCTGCAACCCTGTACCCGCGCCCCCGTGAGCAACGCGCGGTGTATGGAAGAGAAACGCACGTCCGGTTAGACACTGTTCCTTTCTCACGGCGAGGTGGGAGTCTGCGTCTCTCTCTCTCTCTCTCTCTCTCTCTCTCTCTCTCTCTCTCTCTCTCTCTCTCTCTCTCTCTCTCTCTCTGAAAAGAGCTGGGCGGCGCTTGTGCACACTGAACACATACACATACACATACTGAGGAGCCAACCATCAGTCAAAAGAAGGGGTGCTTCACTTTGATATTGAGGAGGCTACAAACATTACATAATTAAAAAAATATATATAATAATAATGGTTATCTATTGGCTTTTGGGAAATCGCATCATCATCATCTAAATGCAGGAAAGAAAATGTCCAACAAGCAAAAACAAAAGAAAATCATAACTGCGTGCTTTTATATCTTTCTGAGACAAACAGGCAGCACACAGAATCTCTATTCAAGAACATCACAGCCTGACAAAATATACAACCCTGCAATGTGTCCAGAGACATGCGTAAGACAGAGAGACCAATAAAAAAGGGTCCCAATATAATCTTCCAATGCAAAACAATACTCACTATAGTAAAAACTAATAGCTCTCTCAAACGAAATCAGCTTAATTTTAGCTATTCTTGCTATAGTTTTAATCAAGTTACTGCACTATTGTAGTTTATTAGATTTTTTTTTTTCATGCTTTGCATGCTAGGCAAAGTAAAAAGTAAACTAATTTGTTTTTCACAAACACTGCAATGGAATATAACCGAATAGCTATATTTATTTTGTGCAAAATCAGAATAAATTCAACATGCAGGTGTTTCTTTGAATATGAATCTGTCTTTGAGTACCTCAGATGTGTTTAATTATGTACCATGCAGACAGTTCTCTAGCTTTCTCTGATTTCCATCATTTGATATTTTTTGAAGGACATCATTCATTTTTTAATAGTTTATTATTATTTAAACATCATACGCAGGCTTAATGTAATATGATACTGAAAACATTGATCTCATGGGTGAGAAGAGATGCTGTACCAGATTACCCTCTGCCATCAGGCATAATTATATACAGTGTTTTGAAATCACACAGACAACAGCCACACAAGAGCTGAGAATGAATGTGATGTTTGAATCACAGCTTCATTTCTAAGATCTTAATGGCTGTAAAGAGTGAGCTGCTGCTTGTACACTATCGTTTAAAACGCTTGGGGGTCATTATGATTTTTTAATGTTTTTGAAAGTCTCTTATTATGCTCAACAAGCTTAGTTTATTTAAAAATAGAGTAATATTGTGAATTATTATTACAATTTAGAATAATTGTTTCTATTTATCCCTGTGATGGCAAAGCTGGATTTTCAACAGCCAGTCTTTTATTGTCACATGATCTCTCAGAAATCATTCTAATATTATGCAGATTTGGTGTTATTATCATCAATGTTGAAAACAGGTATGCTGCTTAAAATGGTTCTGGAAACCATTATTCATTTTTTTTTTAGGATTCTTCGATGAATAGAATGTTCTAGAATAAGAACAGCATTTTTTGTAACAATGTAAAATGTATTTTTGATCAATTTAATGCATCCTTGCTGAATAAAATATCTCTCAATATGAGGTTATAATATGGTCATACAAGCTGCATAAATACTAATTATATAAGCCTTAATAAAATAAACATTAAAAGGTCATTCGATTCCCAGACAATGCACAAATAATAGAAACGCCTACTGAAACACTGTCAACTTTTCATTTAAACTCCTTGTATAATCTGAAAGCTAAGCCAAAACATCTCCATCATTTATAAATTGATTGGGAGACAAATGAACCCTAATCTCACAAATCTGTACTGAAAAATAGCACGACAGAAAGAGACCCAGAATGCTAATCCAGATGTACTGTTCTATTGTTACAATCTTTAGCTGACTTTCACATTTATGTATATATTTTTGTAACATTATGCAATGAAGAAGGAGAGATGATGCAACAAGCATTCGGGGGGATCACAGCTTCCCTCTCTGTGTCCCGAGGTTTCCTGTGATCCAGCTCTTTCAGACGTAAGAGTTTATTATAGCAAAACCAAGGCAGGACAGTGTGTGAGTTGGGATGTCACTAATGGACTCAATAGTTCGGAGCATATGCGTGTATAACAGAGAGGGAGTGGGTATGTTTGTGTATAAAAGCTTTTGGAGACAATATGTTCTCTCCATGCAGTTTTAACCTTTAGGCATCTTATATAGACACAAATAGTCATCATAAGCTTTACCTCATTCCCAGAGCACTATTTAGAATAGTGTATTTTGTGGCATATGTGTTTTGAGTCATAAATAAATCAGCTGAGAAGAGAGCACACACTTTCATAAATAAAACATGAAGCTATATTTGCTTTTATAATGTGGAAGTCTTGCTCTATCTATACATAAAAGGAGGTTTTGAAGTCTTGAGGGCCAGGCTAATGTCATTTCCAGAGATATGGATGATTTTAAGAAAGTGATTTTTACTACTATTAAACCTAAAATCTCAAAAATACCATTATATTACTGATAAAAATATATGGCCTGGTTTCACAGACAGGGCTTAGATTAAGCCAGGATTAGGCCTTAGTTCAATTAGGACATTTAAGTAACTTTTTTAAAAAGCATGGTGTGCATCTTGAGGAAAAAACAATGGCACTGACATATTTTAAGATATGTCAGTGCAAGTTGCTTTCAGTTCAGACAGCCTTGTCTGTGAAACCGGGAATAAAAATACTTATAAAATTTAGTACCAAGCATGTACACAAAAGGTATGTATATAATGGTTCTAAATGATCTCCATATTAATACACCGCTTATTTGCATGATTCTCCAAGTTTTCTAAAAAATACTATTCAAATTTTAACTTAAGTCTAAAAATACTATTAAATTACCAGTAAAAATCTAAAATTACTTCTAAAATATGGTGTTAAGCAGTACAATGGAACTTTGATTGGTACTAAATGATCTCCATATGCATACACTGTTTAATCACATGGTTCTTCAAGGTACTTCAAAGAATACCATGGTATTCTTTGAAGACTATTCATAATGGTATTGTCCAAGAATATGGATCCATGTCCTGAAGTTTCTTTCCCTTTCAAGATTAAGAAATCAGAGACAATCGCAATAATAGCAAAAGTACAAGCTTGTCTACAAACTCTCCAATACCCATGTGTGTGCATGACATCTGGGATGAATGCCAGGAGTGTTAAGGGAGCGAGAGAAAGAGACTGAAGGCTTATGTAATATACTCTCTCCTGAGAAAGAGACTCATCACACACAGCTCCGTGCCAATGGAGGAATCATCAACATGCACACGCAAACCATGTGGAAATAGGTCATATTAAAATCTGGCCACAGTACAAATCTGGTGGTAGGCCAAAACTACCATGGATTTTTTTGGAATATGCCTTTCTTTAAATGACCTTACAGTGTGCACTTGTAACAGAGTTTAGTGAACCAGCCATCTGTTTAAATTCAGACAAACATGTTGATAATGTCAACATGACTGTCATTCCCCACAGAGAAAAACATTTCCAAAGCGCTGAGCGGGCAATAAATAAACTCTGAATTATGTGGTTTTTCCCTTTGTAATATAATATTGCAGTTGCATAGGAACCCTGTGAGTGCATCCTGCAGTGATGCAATGGAATTCTGCATGCTGATTGGTTGAGGTCAGGACAGAGGAAGTAAACAGGCAAGCCCATCAGTCAGTGTGCTTCAAATGCTGTGTGAAGTTCAACTTTGAAACTTTATTTCCACAAATCTACATCAGTTGTGCACGCTATGACTCACCTGGATGACTTTATAAGCTTTTGTAAGTTCTTAGGCACCAGAACTACACACAATATCAAAGCACTGCTGCTGTTTCAGCCATATTTTTAGGTGAGAGTGCCCTCTAATGGAGTGGCGGACTAGCCCCATAGGGAAAATAAGAGCTCTTTGACATCTTGAGCAAAAAGAAAACTTTGGTTTCATTTTTTTTTTTTAATCTCACTTTAAGACAGTGTTTTGCATTACAATATTCTCTAAATATATTTTTTATATATAGCCTATTAAAATCTTTAAAAAGATTATTTCATAACTCATGTCATTTGTAAGTCGCTGTAAAAAAATTATATGATCAATAAGTTATGACATGTTTTTACATTGCTTTAACTCGTCAAAATAATTTAAGCAATGTTCAACTTATTTTTATACGCTATACAAGATTCAACTAATTTAAGTCAGTTTAATGTAATTTACGTTGAGATTACAAACATCCAAGTTGATTGAACTTAATTTAAGGCAGCAACTTTTTTTTTTTTACTACAGTGTGACAATGCTAAATAAATGAAGCTAAATGCGTAAATCTGGCTAATTTATAGAACTGGATTAATTTACTGAGTGATAGGGTAACAATAACATCACATGACACTAAATTTATACTGAATTGTCAACACATGTAACCATACTAAGGCCTACAAATGGACAAACATAATAATTTACTAAAAGGAAATAACCTGAAAGATTTTCAGGTTTTTTTTGTTTTTTTTAGAATAATAAAGTGCTCCTTCAGTTTGATAGTGTAAAATGTTTCCACCAAATATATTATGACATCTGCACAAAATGTTTCTTTATTGTGCAGTCTAAGGATCGATACATTGGTTAGACACAATTTCACCAGTAGAGGGAGCCAAAACCTGATGTGATGCTCAAGTGATCGCGGATTCCTTCTTATATTTATAATGCACATACAAGGGAAAAGCGAGCGGGGAGGGAACGAAAGACAACATGACACATCATTTGTTGTCCATCATAAATTGCCTACATTTATTATTTCCTGCCCAGCTCATAACGGTAAAACGTGCACGACAGCTTCAACCAGTTTCCATGACAACTGGAGCCTCCTTGATTTTAGAACGGAGACCACCTGTCAATCAAACAAAGCATCATCACAGCTAATCAGGCAAATGCCTTATAGCTCAGGAAATAATAAGGCATCGACCAATGCTGTTTTCACCTAAGTACCACATCTGTGATGCATTGGCCCAGTTAGTGTTTCTCTACGCAAGCAATTCCTTTCAAACTAAGAAAATTACAGTGCACAAGTCAGTGCACGAGAAAAGCCAGCAGCCATATCACCCTGTAGCCCAAGACTGGTTTCCCACTGAAGCTAGTGCCTGGATGGGACACCTCCTGAAAAAACCAGGTTGCTGCTGGAAGAGGTGTTAGTAAGGCCAGCAGGGGGTGCTCACCCTGTCCCTGTGGTCTGTGTGGGTCCTAACACCCCAGTATAGTGACGGGGACACTATACTGTCAAAGAGCACCGTCCTTTGGATGAGACGTTAAACCGAGGTCCTGACTCTCCGTGGTCATTAAAAATCCCAGGATGTCCTTCGAAAAAAAAAAAAAGGGGTTTAACCCCGGCATCCTGGCCAAATTTGCCCCTTGGCCTCTGTCCATCATGGCCTCCTAATCATCCCCATATACTGATTGGCTTCATCACTCTGTATCCTCTCCACCAGTAAGCTGGTGTGTGGTGGGCGTACTGGGGCAATATGGCTGCCGTTGCATCATCCAGGTGGATGCTGCACATTGGTGGTGGTTGAGGAGATTCCCCCTTCCGTATGTAAAGTGCTTTGAGTACCCAGAAAAGCGCTATATAAATGAAACAAATTATTATTATCATTAATTAAAAGCCTATGATTGGTCACGTACACCTACAGTTTGGTTTGGTAAAGGTCATGACTTTACATTCCTCATTTTTGTCATTAAAACAGACATTACAGTCTTGATAGGTCAAACAGAGTTACACTTTTATGCTGTCATATAACCATATTATACTATATTAATACATATATAAAATATTATGTTAAGGCTCTTGAAAATCTGCAATGCAAAGCATTTACAAAATAACTTTTTATTCTTTTAAGAGTTAAAAAAAATCTTTGATTCTCTACCGACACTACATTCAAAAAGGCCAAATCTGTAAAACTGCACTACTCACAAAACGACTGCCGTAGCAAACTCCAGCACTTCTCACTGTGCTAAAAAACATTCCACAAACTTGCAAAACTGAAGTCTCAAGGGTTTATTTCCAGTCAATGTTGATTCCTGTGTGGAAAGAGATTGTGTCAGGGGTACGATGGGGTTGATATGTTTTTAAACCTATTTGACAATGATAACATTGAGGCTAATGAAAGTTAAGTTGTACTGAGATGTTCTAACATTCTTTGTCTATGTACATCCTTGTGTATTAAACAAAACGCACACATAAAATGCTTTTGGTTTTCTAATTTCACTAATGCGAGTAAGGGGGGTGGGGGTTCTTTGCAAAAAAAAAAATAACAAAGCATTATAAAACAGCACTAGATTCCAAAGGTTACACAAAGGTTGGTTCATTCTTAAAAGCTGAATATAAGCTCTGGCTAAAAATGGTAAGTCCATTAAGCTGACTTTGGCATTCTGATGAGGGTAGATGATTGTGACTGTAGCACAACAGCAGAGAACAATCACATAACGTCATTAAAGGCTTTACTGACATTCTGTCTCAAATGACTGAAGATAGTACCCTTTGATTAACAACTAGCCTACATAGATCACATTTACTGAAGACTTTGGGCCAGATCTGATTCTCATGAATGCAGAGAATACTCAAATATGCAAATATCCATACAGTGAATACAGTACATTATGTTCTCCCAACTAATCACATACTGTTTGTTTAGCAGCAAAAAAGGAAATAAACCAGATTCTACACACATATCCTTGAGTCTTCAGTAAATAGAGTGTACAGAAGTGTAACAGGGGTGTTGGCCAAAATGCCACTGAATACGGCAGATGTGATTTAACAGTCCTATGAATGTGGTCTGTGCTATGCCAAAAACAAACATGACCATATAAAATTAGAAAATAAATGTGAGGTAAGCTAACTAAGATATTTAAAATGTTCCAAGATGTAAACACTAAAACCTTGAAACATATAGCATTTTTTTAATTAAAAAAAAGCGTTGTATTAAAATTATTTGTTCATCAATTCAAACTAAGTTTGATATTTAAACAGGATTCTAAGATGATATTGGTTTCAATGTGCTAATGAAGGTTTTCATTCTTATGCTAAAATAAGTCATTTGTAGCATTGTTGTCTTTTTTTTGCAAATATAATTATAGCATATCCAAAACATCCAAACAAAATGGATAAATTCAATGGCAATACCTGGCTACATAAATGCAAAGCAATATGGCATCTATATATAGATAGCACCTGCTAAGTAATGCTGTAACACACAAGGTACAAATACTCAAACTAGAAATAGCTCAAAAACTACACAGTACATGACAAAAGAAAACTATAGCTTATCCGGCAGTAACAGCAACTACTGTGTGTGTGTGTGTGTGTGTGTGTGTGTGTGTGTGTGTCTGTGTGTCTGTGTGTGTGTCAGAATGTCAGTAAACATCCAGCATCGTCTTTGGTGACGAGACTTGTCTATTTGTATTATTGTTTTATTTTGATTGAGAGAGATTGTTTATAATTTGGGTGTTGCAGGGGTGAAGCCACCCTCAAGTTCTCCCCTCCTGTTCTTCATGGTAATTTCTCGACGGTCTGCGGATTGCTCAGAGCGAAGATGAGGCACACCTTGAGTGACTCCGACAGGTCGATTCTTCCACTGCGTGCCTGTTGGGGGATAACTGCAGGGATAAAGCGCATCACCTCCACCAAACAATATCTCCCTCTCACCATCCGCTCTAGTGGCACCAGGGAGGTTAGGATTATGGCAGTTGTTCTTTAGGGGGAGATGTGAAGGTCTTACAGTGGATTGGCTCACATGTGGCAACTTTGTTTCTTGCTGAGAAGAGTTGGAGTCAAAACCCCGGCCATGGCCCCGCCTCCAACTATCAACAGTAACCCTGCAGGGTTGTCGCGGTAACGGCATTTCACTACAATCAGTAGTCCTACACTGTGAAAACACAGCCCCCTTTGAGTCATAGTTGGTTACGCTTGTGTAAAGCTCACTTGTCTTAAACTCCAGACAGTCAGTGTCAAGAGAGCGACTGCGTCGATTTAGTGATAATGGAGCAGGGACTGGCGGACAAGGTCGACCCAAACTGAGGTGGCGAGGAAGGCTTGCGATGCCCCAAGTGTTACTGAGAAACAGACTTTGTTCATAGGCATCGAAAGTACGCTGGTCACACTCGGCAAAGGCATCTTGCTGAAGGTAACAGCCATCATCCTCGAAGGGTTCGTAAGGAGAAGCCAACTCTTCCTCTTCCTCAACAAGCTCGGTCTGCTGCTCACACTCACCCTCATTTTCCATGTCCACCACATCAAATGTGACAATGGCAGGCAGGGCACTCAGACTCGGGCCATAAGGAGAACTTGACTCTGAGCCATCAAGACTCTCAGTTGAGTTGCGATAATGCCGTGTGTTCTTTGTGAAATCTACCAGCGCTTGGGAGAAACAGACCATCAGCTCTTCTTGGGATTGGCGGCAGCCTCTGGTGGGTAGTAAAGGGCTTTGATCCTCAGATTGAGGCTGCGGTCTGGTTGTGTCGGTGACATGTGAACTAAACCCCGAATCGGCACGAGGTGCAAACAATGGACTCTCCTGAATCTGGCCCCTGTTGAGAGGGACTGGCTCTATTACAGTCTGGGATCTCGGTGGTGATTGGGGATAGTGCTGATTGGTAACTTCTCTCAAACCTGTCTGACCAGTGTCAACTGCAGGCAGGCTTGAATCATCGTAGAAGCAGTCGTCATGGAACAGAAGCTGATCTTTGGATGGGCTTCTGAGATTCTGAAACTCGCAGCACAGAAGAGCATGCTGGATCTTGCTCAGACGCTCCTCCTCCGTCTCCATGGTTCTGGTCTCAAGACCAGTTGATGCCAGGGCATACAGAGGGTTTGTTGTATTCTTGTCGCCCTGCAAGTGGGCATCCTTCGGAGGAAGAGCAGGGCTGATCAGGCGATCATCAGGCTCAAAAAGTTCATAAAGGGCATCACCACTGTAGCTGTCCCGTGGAAGCCTTTCCTGGTGTGGACGTTCTCTACTCTCCTCCTCCATTCCTGGCGTGGCGGAGTCATAGTATCCCTCATCACTGTTGGGTGCCGACTCCTGCCGATCACTCTGTGGGCTCAAGAGGTCAGCAGAAGTGAGGGCCGTTTCTGTGCATCCCAGTGGGCTGCTGTTGGAGGTGGCACGGATGGAGCTCATTTGCTGATCAGGGGTGAGTGAAGGGCTCTCCGAGCCCCTGTCTGAGGGGATGTAGCAGACTTCATTACTAGTTTCAGATTCCCATAAGCTCTGCAAGTAATCTGCATCGGTCTCATCTGGAGTTGCCATCTCTTCCCCTCCACCTTGATATGTGACAAAACACGAGCTCCGTTTTCCTGCGTTTCGGCTGCCTCTCTCGGCAGACACAGAGCTCTCAGCGACGCTGACGTCATCCTGGTCTGCAATGATGTCTCCACAACCTGTCAGTGAATCAAAGCTCTTCAATGATGAAACATCACCAAAGATTAAGTTTTCAGAAGAACAGGATGCAGCAGGAGGCTCCCCATCAGGAACGTTCACATTCTGCTCAGCCAATCGGTCCAGTTCTGACTCAGCACCTAAGGGTTTTTGATATGTTGTCAGTCCTTCCTGTCTCCCATTTTGCTTCTCCTCCCCCTTCTCCTCTTCTTCTGCTCTCTTCCTCTTATCCAGCTCTACTTTGCACTTCCGTTTCTCAGGCACTAGCGTTACATCTTTCGTACATTCAGTGGCAGCCAATGGCAGTTTACACTCACTGCCTGCGGTTTGATTAGGCACATCTGGCACCAACTCTTCACCCTGACTGTCTCCATGGTTATCGCTACGGTCACTGAGGCTTGACATGGCACCAGGCACTGTTTCGGCATGGAAGCTTGAAGACATTTCAAGTGCCTCATGCTTTTCTAGCTCGACATTTTTGTTTTTCCTGTGTCTCCGAATGCTGCTGAAAAGACTCCGAAGACCTCTGCGCTGCCGTGGTAGAGACTGAGATTTCCCATGGTCCTCCTGTGATGATTTCTGAGGTTCACTGGAGGTGCAGATCTCAAAGTCTCCGGAGGCCACTTCACCGCTACTTTTGCCCAAATCTTCCCAGCATCCTCTACTCACCCCATCATATGTTTGGCTCTTTGTTACACCTGTTTTTGATGACCCCTTTCTTTGACTTCTGCCACGACCACTGAAAAAGTTGGGCAGAACACAGATGCTCTTCCGACCTCCAAAAAACTTGAAAGTCGACTTCCGTATTTTCACAGAAGGGGGTGACTGAGGTTGAGGGGTGTCATGGGAAATGGAGTCTTGCTGTGGACCGCCTATTACACCAACAACCTTAGTTCCTGTGGCGGTCTCCATAGTGACACAGATCAATGTGGCTAATGGAGCATGTCTGTGGTAAACTCTCCTTCCTGAGAGGCAGGGCAGAGGAAGGAACAGGGACTGTGTTTATCAGGCATGTTATACCTGTGAAAGAAACAGAAGTTAAAGACAAACCATTAGAAACAGTCAAAACTAAAAATAAATAAATAAAACAGAACTAAGAATGGATGTTCTTTGGTGATCAATTAAAGACAATTTTTTAATCAATAAATTAACTTCATATGTTATTTTAAAAAAAACTTTGATTTTATGTAATGTCACACGTTTCTTTGCCTGCTAAATAGGTTTTTCTTCCAGCATTTTAAACACTTCTGAATGTATGCCTGCCTCAAAAATAATGTAATGTAAAAACATTATCTTAAATTGTGGTAACATTGTGTACACAGAGCAGGGCCCTTGGAAAATTAGACAGATGTAATCATATTGTGTATACTGTACATGGAGGATCCTACTAACATTCTAGACAACACTCAAACTTGAGGAGCGAAGCTTGCCACAAAATTCACAATACATTTATTAAAACACTAAAAGACGCCATCTGATGCCATCTGTACTGTATATCTGTGATTGAGATGGCTGTTTTCACAGCTCAATGATAATGACAAAATTACCTTGTAAACAAGATGTATGGATTGGGCAGTAGTCTACATAGTAAAAGTAAACAAAGTGTCACCAGTCGCTCTAACAGGTTATGACATTTTGGGACTTTTTGATAAAATATTTTGAACACTGAGTTTTAATCCCAACTGCCACCAACTTACTCTGCCACCAACTTACTCTGAGTTTGTACTGACTGACCAAAATTCATACATGTTATAGACAATGCATAATAACAGGCAAGAAGAGCCCAGAACCTAAAAACAATGTGCACACTGCACAATTTCACATCAAGTGTATTCCTCCATAAAAACCATTATGAAGAAAACTGTTAAAGTGCCTTTAATGCACTGATTGAGTTTATCAGGCAGGGTCTGAATTTCATTTCAGAAAAAAGGGGAAATTCCCTTAGGTGACTCTTTGTGGTATTTGAGGGGGGAGTTTACATTAAAATATAATAATTTTGTTGCAATAGCTTACACACAGCACAAGAAAGCTTGATTTCAAACTTTTAACAGAATTTATATTAAAAAAAATGAAAGGGGGAATCTACTCAACCACCAGAAATGTGCAGCATCCACCCGAATGATGCGACGGTTATACTGTTATACATTCGTTTTCTTTCTCAACTGTTCACATTCACTTAAGACTTAAAATGACCATTTACGTGAATACTCGCTGAGTTTTGACAATTTTGTGTGTATTTGACCATTTAAGCAATGCATAATAAGCCGCGAAAAATAACTCAATTTGACAATCGCAAACGGTTTGATAGGTGGCTTTATGTATGCACGCTTTGGCTGAGAGCGCACAAACAACAATCTCTCAGAGAACGCAAGAGTACTGAGGGCAAGTTCACATTACAACGATGTACTAAAAGCTGAAAAGTTTTTCCTTTTTTCCTTAAACGATCCCCGTTCACACAGATCCACGAAAACAATTAAAAATGCTGTATTATGCATGCCAGTCAAGTATTTGGTGAGGTCAGTTTATAAAGAAAAACTACATGCCTAGACTGAACATGACATCACCGTTTTCACAAATTCACATTTTTGTAGGGACCCCTGAATGTTTAAAATGGCAAGAATTAGGGGCCATTTACATGACAATGGCGTTTAGGGGGAAAACAGGTTTCAAAGTACAAGTTTTTGAAAACGATACAGTTATTGTCTCAGTGAAATACAAATACTCCTATTTGTAAAAAAAAAAAAGGTGGCATCACGCGCATGCGTATTACGTGTTCAGTGACAGTCTATTAGGCGGATAGTTTTTCTTTACAAAGTGACATTGACCTGCTTCTGATAAATGCACAGAGCATTCAATTAATGGATATATGCTGCTGCTGCTAGAGAGAGGAAGACCCCCATAGCAGATCTAGGCAGGTGGTGCTGGGGAGGCGGAGGACTAGAAGAAGAATTTGCATAGCTTGCTGAGTTAGAGTATTCATTTGGATGTGCCATGGTTGTAAAGGGATGTGGTAATGGATACGTGAAATCAATTCGCTGACTGTGAATGGTACATTAAAACAACCAATCAGAACGTTAATAGAGTTTCATGGCTAAACTACCCATTTTGTTTGTCTGTCAAAAGCTCCATGAAAAGAAGAAAAACCTGAAATAATTCAGCATTTCAATTAACTACTAGCCTATATTCGGTAAAGAAAAATATACAAAGTGTCTATTACAAATACATTAATAAGATTTCTTGGGCTCATATAGATAATTCTCAAGTAAATACTCTTCAAGTAAACATGGCTGCAATGCTTTACTGAAACTGTAAAACAGTACCACATATACCTTTTGTTAACAATTGTCTACTGGGTCTTACTGAGCATTATATGCACTGTAGTTTCCCCACTGGTTACAACTATCATCAATAATAAAACATATCATCATGCAGTGTAGTTTAGCTATGAAATGAGTCAATTACATTTGCACATCTATAGGTCGAAATAATTTGGATACATTTGTTAACCACTGAGGCAGACAAGTTAATTAAATAAGGAGAAAACAGTAAAAAAAAGGCAGCAAAGTGACAAGTCTTGCAATGCAACACATAACGTGAGTGAAGTTCCGCTGGATTAAACCCCTCAAAACAAAAGCTGAATGAAACCAACGGGCCTGAACACTCACTGTATGTTCATCATAAACAAAGGAAAATCACATACAGATAGCGTGCACTCAGAAGAACTACATCATATGGACCAATTACACCGACTACTGCACTAAGAATATTATTAGTAACAAAAAACTTCTATCAACAGATTGCACACCGTGTCCCCAGCTGGACACCATCACTACGAAATGAACGCGCAACTGGCGCGCGCTAGCCCAGACGCTAACCAGCTCCCGACCGCTTCACTGATATTCACATAACTTGTATACATAAACAGCTGCTTCTGCAAGCCCACTCACACAGTGAAAGAGCGAATAACACAGAGAGATGGAAACATAAGCGATACTCGCCTTATTTGTCCATCTTTTCCGCCCGAGCGTGCAGTGTTGTGCTCTCTCCTCGCGCAGCGCTGGAGGAGCTCGCGGTTGGGATTCACTTTGTTCAGTGAGCGCTGGAGCGGCTGGCGGCGTTTCCGTGCTACGTGCATTTTGGGAAGTGTAGTACCATATCTATTTATTTTACTGTATGGGCATATACACAGCAGTGACAGGAAAAAAATACGATAAGGAGCCAAAATTAATATTACTAAAAAATAATAACAACATACAATAAAATAACTAACATTTGACAAGACATTGATGAAAATAAATTAAAGCCTACTCTTTTGCACATGTACTAGGACAACTCTTGAATATGGTAATTAAAGCAGTGGTATTTGTTTGTGCAATTCAAATTTGAGTTTTGCCGCAACATTTACATGACTGGGGACCCACAAGAGGGTGCTTGGGGGTCTACAGAAAAAAAAGATTTTACTAAATGTGTTTAAGGCTATCAAACTTAATGTGTTGACAAAAGCTTCCAAATTTGAACTACGTTAATCATGAAAAACACTTTACAAATATATTTGAATAGAATTAAAATGTTTCTCTCCTGGTTTTTGCCTAATTTTAATAGTGGGTAGAAAAAATAGTTATCCTAATAAAAATTGATATTTCCAGATTTCCTTTTTTATTTTTAGTACAATGACAATATAAAAGCTTATTATTTAATTTTACTGCCTTATTTAGAAAGGGGGTCTTTGACATCAAAAAGTTTAAAACTGGGTTGTTAACTAAAACTATTAAAGGGATAGTTCCCCCACAAATGAAAATTCTGTCATTAATTACTCGCCCTCAAACCCGTAAGACTTTCGTTCATCTTCTGAACACAAATGAAGATCTTTTTGATGAAATCTGAGAGATTTCTGTCCCTCCATTGACAGCTACGCAACCACTTTCGACTGTATTTTTTAAGGTCTGTCTCTGCATTGTGCATCTTAGCTCCTCTATGCTAAATTAAAGTATTTTAAGTTTGCCACATCAGTGCAATAATACTATTTTATGACAAAAAACATTCTCTATGTGGAAACCAGCACCTCAAATGACCGCATAAATGTAAATATAAAGAAAAAACAACCACAGATAAACATTCAAATGTTCAGTACTTAAATTTTATGAACAAACTAACAAGCCAGCTGTCATCCATAGCAGAATAATGTTGTCAAAATACACTTGCAGAAGCACATTTGTATATCCCATTAGCACAGACTGCTACACGTGAAATCCTCAAGCTACAAACGTCAATACCGGTCATAAATCCTTATGAAGACTCTGGAACTGATCTTCATTTTGAAGTCTTTAACCTCACATGAACAGAATGATCTCCATTACACTCTACCTGCACAATAGAGGTTATACAGCATCTGTTGGAAGAATGCATCCCTCTAAACAAGGGATTCATAGACACAAGTACATCAATGGATTTTATATATCATATTAAGATTGATAAGACAGTTACCAACAATTTTGCATCCATCATCAAGCTGTTACTAATCAACAAATCAAGTAATTAATCAGCAAAAATCTGTTTTACAACAGCTTAATTTACTATGAAAAAATGAAAACCTCCAGATGATCTTGAAAAGAGAGAAACAAGGCTATATGACAACGCATAGTTCTAGAGCATTAACTCTTTTAGACAACACTTCTGGTCGTATTACATACAGTAATAATAGATATTACAAATTTGAATGACTATCAAGCAAATTAATGCATGAGGATGTTCAAGTTTAACACACCATACATGTAAACAGAGTTTGTTAGCAGTGTATCGGTCCGTCTGTGAGATTGTATACGAGTGAGTCCACGTCATTAGGTCAAGACCCTCTGTCTGTATGGTCTACCAGTCCAGTGTTTGGTCTACCAGTCCAGTGTCTGTTTGAGTCTGTCCTTTAGTAAGGCACAGTTGAATATGCTCTGGTTTGTCAGTAAACCAATGCACTGCTCATAGACTTGTGTTTGAGATAGTTGATGAGCCTGGGTGGAATCTCCAGAGAGTCCAAAGAGTGAATCTTGTTCACCTGTATCAGGTGTCTACGAATGACCAATCTACACTGAGATGCCAGAGTCTTCGGAAACCCTGTTTAAAAAAAGAGAGATTGATAAAACATGGCACTCACATGGCAATCAGTGCTATTTTAGTATCATTCATATACTATTACAGTGTTCATTAATATTTTGTATTAGCTTTTATTTTTATATTTTCACTTTATTTTAGTTAGAATAATTGTGTGTGCTTTGTCATTTTTAACAAATATTTCTATTTAGCTTTATTTTTATTTCAGTTTTACTTTTAGTATTTTTAGTACTTCAACTTAAACATTCTAAGTTTAGTCTAAGTTTTTAAAGAGAAACTTTTTCATCCAATATTTATATTTTAATTCATTTTTGATTTATTTAAAATATATATATATATATATATATATATATATATATATATATATATTCTTAATAGTTTTGGTTACCAAAAACAACACTGATGGAATAAAAAAATTTTTTTAAAGAGACGTTATACTGCTAATTTCTCACCTCGCTCTTTCAGCAACAGCTCAACAGCTTCATTCTGTTTGGTGCTCTTCTCTATAATGAGGGTCGGCAGGTAGACGTTTGCCCCAAAGTCAATGAGCAGTTGAATGTATTCGACTCCACAGCCGTGTCGCAAACACAATTCCAGGACCGTCTTCTGCTGCGTGGCCCTGCCGATCACCTTCTCTTCCGGGCTGTTATAGTTCGGATCCGCCCCATATAACAGCAACATTTTAAAGCAATCCAGGTGTCCATAAATGGCTGACAGGTAAAGCGGCCCGCTGCAGACGGCAACCCCAGATGCCCACAGCGTCACCTTTGACCTGGCGTTGACCTCTGCCCCGTGCTGAAGCAGCTGGCGGAGGATCTCCGGGTCGCCCTCTCGGGCGGCGGTGAGCACCGGCGAGCTGTTGTTCAGGTGACTTCCGTTCGGATTAGCCCCGGCACGGAGCAAGGCGAGCACGCAGCTCAAGTAACGCCCGCAAACAGCAGTGAAAAGAGGAGTCTGGGCTTTCACATCAAGGGGGTCCACCTCTGCCCCATGGGCCAGGAGCAACTGCAGGCACCTCAAGTGACCTGCAGGGAACAAAACATCTGCGTCTTGGTGTCCAACAAACTCAGATGTGACATCAGAGAGTGCGTGCAAGGGTGACGCATGTACCTTTGGACGCAGCCATGCGTAACGGGGTACCTGGGATACCCCAACCGCTCTGCTGATTAATGCACTTCCTGTAGTGTTCTTGTGACAGTAGCTCAGCCAACAGGAAATGGTCATCATCAGCCACAGCTCGGTTCAGCTCCAGACTCTCAGCAGCAGATTCATCGTCTTCCACAGGTCGTAGCTGGAGCATAGAGGAGAACTGTCGAGAAAAAGAAAGTTTATGCACAGATTAGTGTCTTTGTAGTGTTTTTTGTGTGACTGTTGAAAATATGTAAAAAAAAAAAAAAAAAAAAAAAAAAGAAGCTGCCTACATAGACGATGCCAAAAATGCTGTCCAGGTTGGCAGCTCACTAGCAGATCAGTTTCACTTTCATTTGAATAACATATGAGCTTTTATCATTTTTATTTGTTGAATATGTTTTGCTTTGTTTCAGATTTATTTCAACTGAAAAAATATATATTTTTAATTCTTAACAACAAAAACAACACTGGTGGCTAGATTTTCAGCCAGAATATTCAAGATGAATTGCATTCTCTTCCAATATGTGAAGCACTTTTAAGTTCAGGTGTGCATAACAACAAAACCGTATATTGTTTTATCATGTCTAATATTATTGAGTAAATTATGATTACATAATACTATTATGTGTGACAGCGTTCAAAAGATTAAAACGCTTTGTCATGATGAACTTTATTTATCTGAATTAGCTTAACGCACTAACGTTAACTTACCTAACGTTACTAGCAAGCAAACACAACATAGGTTAGCCGACTAGCAAATGAGATAAAACCCATAAATACAAGCAAAACTGATTTCATAAAGGCGTTATGTTTCTAAACTCAACTGAGAGTAAAACTGAGCATACACGGAAGAAAATTCATTCTCAAGCTTTGAGCTCGGTACTAGATTTAACTCGAGTAACGTTATCTGTAAATAACGCTGAGTTTGACTTGCTCTCTCCGACCTGCTGTCAAACAAACATACATTTTAACGGAACAAACAACTACGTTCGTACACCATGACCATTTAGCAGATATTTTAAGAGTGTTTTCGTCTCAAGGACAATCACCGAGCTAATAATAAGCCAAACACTGACGACGAGTAGCGGAAGAAGATGTTCTGCGGACGGCCAGAGGGGGCGCTGTGCGTGCAAACACCGCTATTGGGATGTGTAATGAGTGGGTTAAATGTTACCCACAAACTTAATAATGCAAATAATACGATCAAATAACAATGCACATTTTTACTAAAAATGTATATTTATTTAAAGAAAAAATCTATTTAAATTGAATGGTGTACAAAAGAAGTACAAAACAGTGCAATGATCAAAACAAGCGTGTATAAAATTATTCAAAACTTTAAAAATAGATGTAATGTAACCAACAGGCTGGCATTTTCAGTGACATCACTCATTGCTTATTTCAAAATTCCCTTTTGCTGAACATTTAGTGAAAAAAAATTCTCTAATTTAATCAAAAAATAATATTGTAAACAAATGCTTCTCAATAAAGGAATTAAACACATTGATTTTTCATCTCACATAATAAGAAAAGCCTGTCTGGAGCTCCATAGCAGGGTTCAAGAAGTTGAATTCTAGAACTAAAGCTGTCAAATAATTTCCACATACACAAGCAATACAATCATTTTACACATCCAGTAGAAAAAATAAAAAACAATATTGCTTTGCAAAACTATATATGCAATGTATTCAAAAGGCTTGGACAAAAGGACACAAGTAATATTCTAGAAGGCCCACCATCAACTGTTTTATGTGCATCAAATTATTTGTTTGGCATTAGAGCTAGGCTTTAACAATCCGGCATCCTATTGCATTCAATCAGCAGCATTTTTTCAGCTGTGTTTCTTTGCATGCAAAATAAATAGTGTTTGCAATATAGAAATCAAAAAATAATACTACGCCTTTGAGCAAAAAAAAAAAAAAAAGTTAATCAATTTGACCCGTTTTCTAATAGTGTGTTCCCTTTATCTACCTGAATCTCACAACAGCTGCTAATGTGTCTGAATAAATCAGTATCAGGGTCTGGTTTTCAAATGTACTACACATTACATATATTAAAAGAAAGACATTAAAAAACTACCGTTCAAAATAACTCCAATGAAACAAGGTCAAATTTGATCAGAATGGCATTTAAACAAAACATAAATGATTCTGATTGGCTATGATCAAAGCATGTAGCTTCAATCCTCATGGTCTGAAGGCCAACAAACACACTCAAGTCCACAAAAATGTATAGAACATTTCAGGAATGTCCAGAACAGATATAATAGGGTAAAAGAATACACACAGTGATAGAAGAATCTCATGTACAATGATACACAATCACAAACTGGTGTGTGGACTTTTTTTCTATTATGGCGGCCTCAATTGTGAAAAGAGTACTGCATGAATCTTTTCAATACTCTGGACATTTGTTCCTTGGGGTTTCAGTCAAAAAATGTCCAATCTGTTACTATGGAGACTCAATGGGATTCTTGTACCTCCTCTTTGGAATGTTCTGTTTCCACAGAAACAGGTTTGTCCTTAGAGGAGGTCAGATCGTGTTCGGTGGCCACAGGCTCTGCCCCTTCTTTCTCATTACACTTCTCAGCTCCTGGACCCGCCTCCTCTCCGTCGCCATTACTCAAAGGAGCACCGCTTCCGTTTGATTGGGCAACAGGAGCATTGGGAGTGTTCTCATTTGGACTGTCCTGTTCTGCAGGTGCGTTGATTGGTCCAGATGGATCAGGGAGAACCCCATCTGCAACAGCCAGCTGCTGTAAATGGAGGAGAGGGAGACAGTGACATGCCAAACAAATACCTCTCCACTCAAAAACTGCAACTCCCACAACCCCACTTACTCGCTGTAATTCAGTCATGGTTCTTTCTCCTTCTAGCTGCTTCTGTGTGAGGGACAGCAGCTGGTCTAGAACAGACTGTTTTGGGTGCATGCCTCTGTCATAGTGGTTATACATCCCACACCAGAACCTGGGGAACACAAATACACAATCAACACAGTTTTAATGAAGTGCTGTATTGAGTACATCAGTGATATTTTTTGTTTACCATGCTTTTGGTGCTAAACTATTCAGTAAACACGAGACATTACAGACATCGAATTAATTACACCACAATTATCTTTTTGTTTGCAGTAAGCACAGTGGAGAGTGACGTTGTGCATTGAACCCATCTGTGTTTGTTGGTAACAAGTGGAAAGGTGGTTTGTTCATGTGTTTGAGAGTGTATTCATACTTGAAGTGCAGGGGTAAAGTGCTTGGTCTGAGAAGTGTGCTCTCTACTGTACGTCGGTACAAGGGGTTTCGATACTGATGCTGGTTCTCCAGAAGATGTGTCCACAATGAAAACGTTTTTTCATGCAACCTAAAATCCCACACAGAATGTTGAAACAAAGCATTTAAAATCATTCAAGACTTGGAAACAAACAAGCAAGCAGAGTATGGTTGATTTCACTTCTGTCCGAATCAAGAATATTTGCTTTTAATTTTGAAGCACACACATTAAATGATGACGATTTTTATTTTTTTTAAATCAATGTGTGTGTGTATGTGAATTCTATCCTCACCTCATTTCCAGTCGCTCTTTCTGGCAGTTGCCGATGAAGTTGCCGTACTGGCAGGCGTAGACTTGATTGTGTATTTCTATGAGGTAGCGTTCATTAAACTCAAACACACAGGGAAATTGTTCTGACAGCTGCCACACGCACTCCAGGAACTGGGTGAACACCGGAGACACTTCCTTGGGGTCGGTGTCCAGATGGCCACACCTAGAGCACAAACGTATATACAAATGTCACAAAAAACTGACCAGTTATTGACAATAATGGCTACAGAGATCACCATTAATAAAGTCAGTCTTTATATAGTATACAAAAGGTAATTATTACATATAACACTTTTAATATTATTTGACATATTAATAATACTGCTATATAATATTTATTATTTGCTGTTATTAAACGCTGTGATACTGTTTTAAATATTATTTATCAATTCATGTAACAGCAGTTACAAGTTCTTACCTGTGACTGAATTTATGACCAAAAGAGATCCACTCCTTTTCGATTAAAACCTGTAGTAAAAAAATAAAATAAAAAAGTCAAATAATGAATGAATTTTTCCTCAGTCTACTATTTGATAAACATTTTCAAGACAGTCAAGAACATACATTTTTCCATAAGTCTAGGTGTTTTACCTTTTAATATACACTACTGTTCAAAAGTTTGGGGTCAGTAAGATTTTGTAAAAGAAATTCATACTTTTATTCAGCAAGGACACATTCAATTGAACAAAAGTGACAGTGAAGACACTGTAAAATAAATGCTTTCTATTCATCCTGAAAAAAAATGTATCATGGTTTCAACAAAAAATATTAAGCAGCACTACTGTTTTCAACATTGATAATAATAATAATAATAATAAGAGCATCAAATCAGCATTTTAGAATGAAGACTAAAGTAATGATGCTGGAAATTCAGCTTTGCCATCACATTTCACATTACTTATTACAATAGAAAACAGTTAATTTTAAATTGTAATATATAATCACGATATTACTGTCTTACTGTATTTTTGAATCTTACCAACCCTAAAATTTTGAACAGCAGTATATTTTTAGTTAGTTACACAGGAATAGTTGATGACTTATTTAGCGAAGCCATGACCTGCCTAACAGTGACAAATGTGAGCGTGCACTTAAAATTCATAGCAGTCCTGTGTTGAGTATAGAGGTTATAGGTTACTAGCTCATTACCATGAGGCCTTTAATGGTTCTGTAGTAAGGGTCCAGCAGTATGCAAGCCAAAGAGCACACCTGAGCCGTTCTGTCCCATCCATCAGAACAATGTACCAACACACTCGCCCTCTCTTCACAGACAGCCTATAACACAAACCAAATGACGGAGTAAATCAGAAATACTTGATGAGCATTTGTGTTGGTGTGTCTCTCCATGCAATTATAGATTTGAGGTCAGTACCCTGGCGAGGAACACGCCTGCATCCATCACAGATTTGATGTGCCTCAGCCAGCCGGAATTCTCCAAACCTATCAGATAGTCACTCATGGAAGGGGATTTCATAGAGCACACTGCAAAGAATAAACGGTACAACAACCAACCATCACTTTATCTACTACTGGCTTAAAAGGTACAACCGACACTCAAGTGAGCATAAAGTTGCAAACACAAGCGTAATTAGCTTATTATAGAGTTAATATTGCATATACCAGTACAAATAAAAAAGCTTGTCCTCTCACCCTCCAGCAGTTTTTGCAGGCTGTTTCTCATGACGTGGATGTTTTCAATTCCTTGGAAGTGGAACCTGATATTGGAGTAGTTGTCCTCATTCTCATAGCCTTTACCAGCTGCGCGGTTCGCCATTGCATTCAACTGACAAAGACAAAAAGCGCGTATAAATACATGCACATGTTTCTCCAGATGATCAGGTTATGGTTTACAGTTGTTTCGCACTAAAAGAATAGGGAAAGGAATAATATGTTGTTTTTCTAGTTATATTGGTGAAACATGAGATGGGCAACAATAAATAGAACAGTATATACAATATTTGCAATACATACAAAAAATAAAATACATTGCATAACTAAACTCTATGACCAGAATTTATTGGTTAACTAATAAGAATCTGTAAAATGTTCATTACATAAATAGAGGAGTAGTTGGGGTCAGGGGTCAAAGGTCAGAGGGTGAAAGATTACACATGACACCTATGTGACTCCTACATATATGCCAGAGCAGTTGGGGTTGAATGTTTAAAGATAAACATTTACAAGTCCCATCATGAGTTGTCCTATAATGTATATAGAAAGGTTAAGGTCAAAGGTCACACCTTAGGCCGTGTGTCCACTACATATATAAAAGGGCAGTTGGGGTTTGCTTGACTGATGACCTGAAGCATCTGCTCGTCTTCTACACAGCGAGAGTTCAAACCTGACAAAGGCTGACTGCAGCGACAGATCGCAGCCTGCAAGAAAGTCACACAAAATACAAAGAACAGACAAGGATGTTGTTAGCTGCACAACTTCTCACCTTTCCAGTATAAACCTGTTGATGTATTTATATGTCCTCAACATGGTGTAAACTGTAAAAATGTGATTATTCGACTGTGTGAAATTAACTGTTAAAAAGCCTAGTAAGGCATTTTGCTGTCTACTATCTGGGTTCAATCTACCTATAAATTATTCATTTAAATGTATTAAATATATTGGACTATTCAATAACTTTGCAGTATTGTATAAAATAGACTGCCTGGCCAAAAAAAAAAAAAAAAAAGGATTATTGCAGTGATGATTATGTTTCTAGCATGTTATATGTTTGCCAACAGTTCTTCTAACCGTAATTTATGGAGTGTGTAGCTTTTAATTTCTTAATCAACCATGTAGAAAGACGCATCATGGGCATATTCCAGTAGCCTGACTACGTCAGACTTCGTACTTCCGCTCAATTTCAGTTCGCTTCTGTACTCAGTCTGAGATAGCGACCTATCTCTGTTTTCCTCCGGTCTGAAAACAGCCGGCCAATCAACAAACAGAGGGCGGGCTGAGAGCCGTGACGTAGACGCTAAGCGCCGAGTTTAAGATTGTATTTTAGGTTAGGGAAATCGAAAACGACCGCAGATATGGAGATACGGGATGCAATTCACCATTTGCAAACTGAAGCCCGAACAAGAAGAGTGTTTGTTAAACATTTTTAATGAAGGTGATGTTTAAGTTGGAGAGAGGGATAATTCCGTTATGTGATTGGCTTATGGGTAACCAATGATTTTATACTTCAGAAAAGCACCCCCCCCCCCCCCCCCTCCCCCCGCGAGAAAAAAACACTTGTCAATTATGCCATTCCAGACTCTGTCTACAAAGCAAAGCGAAGTAGCAGAGTTTGGTATTACCAGGCTAATATTCCAGGATGACAATGTCAAGATGCATCAGGCTCAAATTGTGAAAGAATGGTTGAGAGTGAGCATGACGAATTATTTTCACACATGAATCGGCACCTCTGAGTCCAGACCTTAAATTAATAGACTTTACAGAGTGCTGGACTCTTGCATCGTCAATACAAGATTTTGACCAAAAATTGATGCACCCCTTGATGGAATTAACATTCAACATTCATGCTCCCTCCAAATCATTCTTTCACAATTGGAGCCTGATGAATTTTGACATTGTCATCCTGGAACATGGCCATGATGTGTCTTCCTACATGGCTGTTTAAGAAATGAAAAGCTACACACTCCATCAATTTGGGTTAGAAGAACTGTTGGCAAACATGTAACATGCTTGAAACATAATAATCACTGCAATAATGATGCAATCATAGACAAGCATTTGCCTATTTAAATCCTAACAATGACCTTTTTTTTTTTGGCTGGACAATGCATGTATATAATTATTAAAAGCTTTTCTCTAAACATTGTCGGCTATCTTTGATGAATTTGTTGCAGTGCATTTTGGGACTCCATTATCTGTTAAAGGGTTAGTTCACCCAAAACTGAAATTTCATTTTATTATTTACTCACCCTTAAGTTGTTCCAAACCCATAAGACTTTCGTTCATCTTCGGAACATAAATGAAGATATTTGTTATGAAATCTGAGAGCTTTTTGACCCCCCCATAGACTGCAACGTTATTACCACTTTAAAGGCCCAGAAAGGTAGTAAAGACATTGTTGAAATAGTCCATGTGACTACAGTGGTTCAACTTTAATGTTATGAAGCGACAAGAATACTTTTTGTCCACAAAAAAAACAAAAATAACGACTTAATTCAACAATTTCTTCTCTTCCATGTCAGTCTCTGACGCAGTTTAAACACAGTGTAGTGCTTCTGGGTTCTACGTCAGAACACAGGCTCATTATTGGCCGGCTCCTGCGTCAGCATCACACACATGTGTCGTGGTGCTCACGTTAACAGCATTCGGAGAATGACACGGAAGAGAAGAAATTGATGAATAATATATTTTTTTCTTTTGTACACAAAAAGTGTTTTGTCGCTTCATAACATTAAGGTTGAACCATTGTAGTCACATGGACTATTTGAACGATGTCTTTACTACCTTTCTGGGCCTTTAAAGCGGTAATAACGTTGCAGTCTATGGGGGGGTTAGAAAGCTTAATTTGTGTTCTGAAGATGAACGCCGAAGATGAAGGTCTTACGGGTTTGGAACGAAATAAGGGTGAGTAATTAACGACAGAACGATTTAAGTTTTGGGTGAACTAACCCTTTAAGGATACATGCAATGCTTTCTTAGAATTTGGCCATTTGTTATAAACTTCAGCATAATTATGATGTCTACTGTATGAAATAGCCTTCGCCAGGGCTGGACTGGGACTAAAAATCGGCCCGGGCATTTTGGCCCAGACTGGCCCACTCCATATAATCATAAACACGACCGATCTTTTCACGCCCCAGAATATGTATACTAACTACTATTAAAATCACTAATGCCATCTAATGAGTGAGTAGGAATGAGTAAGAGTTAATAGATGAAATACCTAATTGTAAAATAGCTACAATCGAACTACTCCACAATGATGAATCCTAAAACAAGCTATAAGCTGCATTGGCATAGCAATACCAGTGTTTGACACAGGATTTTTGGTAAATCTGTGGTGGGTGGACCTCTGTCCCTTTTTAATGTTAAATTCATCAATCTGGTGCACTTTGAGAATTAAAAATTAAGAGCTCCAACCCATAATAAGTGTGCAAATTGAACAAAGAAAAACTCAAAACTCTTTTAGCTGTGATATAGTGTCTGTCTGCATTACACTACTACATAATAATAGTTATAATATTAATTCCATGACAGTAATAGCCATATATTGTAAAACAAATGCACTGAAAAATAAAAGCAACTTTCATAATTAGTTTTGTAGCCTACTAATTTCTATGCTTGAAAGAGATAAACATAATGATCTTTTATTTTTTATTTTTTAAAACATGGTTTAGGAACGCGTCTCATTACAATTCTGCGTAATCGTCAACTATGCAGATGTGTAAATAATGCATAATGCGTAACTGGGTGATGGGTTCCTACACTCATCGCCTCAGTGTTCTTCGGAAAGTTGTCTAGTTCTGCTTACCACAGTTCTCTACACTCACTCATTCTCTCCTGATCCTCCTCAATATCCTCGTCAGACACTTGAAGGGCCCGTTTCTTTTTTCACGCTATTTCTCTGCACATTCCTTGCGTTTCTTCTCCATCTCTCGGACTATTTTGACAGATACACAGTGACACTGCACGCTCGCTCAGAGCCTAGAGGGGGAGGTGTTTAAAGATGTGATTGGACCAGCCCAGTGCCAATCAAAAAAAAAAGAACCAATGGGCCACTGATCTACGTGTTTCATGGGCCGGTCTGTTTAAAAAAATAAAACCTACGCTGACTTGTTTTGTCCAATGCATTACACCGACACAAAGAACCCTGCGCCGCCAATTAAGCAAAACTAAACGAATGGGCCGTCGATGTACGAGTATTATGGGCCGTTTAGACAAAAAAATTGCTTTTATATTTTTGATCTGTATCGGCCCAAAAAGCACGTCGGCCCACCGGGCATTTGCCCGGTATGCCCGATGGCCAGTCCAGCCCTGGCCTTCGCGTTAGGAGTGTGCCTATGATGCCTTAAAATGCTGTCTAGGTGGGGAGCCCACTAGGTTGTGGAACAGAGCCATTGTGTGCATTTATAAAGTGCATGCCATGCGCTTGTACACCTTTGTATCTTTGTGATAGTAAGACAGAGCAGGCAATCGCCCTCGGCTCCTAAACTTGGCACTGCCAGTTACCGTAGCAACACTGGCACTTTTAGGGAGTCCAAGGATAGATGGATAAGTGCTACAGATCTATGTGAAAGAGAGACAGAGGGACATTTTTTAGAGATCTATGAGACAGAAAAAAACATTAAAAATAATTTTAATAACACAATTGATAAATTATTTAATTATAAAGATTGGTCAAATTTTAAACAAAAAATTCTGATCAAATTTTGGGTGCATACACTACAGTTAAAAAGTTTGGGGTCCGCAAGATTTGTTGATCAGTCAGTTGATCATCATTTGATCATTACAAAAGAGTAATATCATGAAATATTATTACACTTTCATAAAATTATTGTTTTAAAATCTATGTCTGTATGTCTGAATTTATTCCTGTGATGACAAAGCTGAATTTTCAGCATCATTACTTCAGTCTCACATGATCCTTCAGAAATCATTCTAATATGCTGATTTGGTCTTATTATTATCAATGTTAAAATCTTTATTATCTTACTTCCCCCAAACTTTGAACGGTAGTGTGTTTGATTGAAACTGTTCTGCCTAAAACATATTTATCATGGTGGTCAGTGGATGAAAAAAAGTTTGGCTGATTATTGTTAAATGCTCCTAAACAGGATGCATGTTCACTTTACTATGTTTAGTATGCTACCTTATAGTTCTTGTTGAGGTGGCTGATTTCCCAATATTCATTGGAGAGACCCATCCTGCTGAAGTCGTTCGCCAAACTGATGAATTCCCAACCCCGTCGTCTCCTGTCCTCCTCATTTTGATGTGGATTATAGAGAAAGGCATAAAGCTCATCTTCTTTGACTGAAATGACATAAGTATGTCATTATTGGGCCAGTCCTGCACTGTCACTACATTCATTAAGCATGTGTTGTTAACCAAAATGATTAAGAATTGTTTTCACTAACTGAAATAAAGCTAAAATAAAAATTATATATATATATTAGATGAAAATGTCAAATTTAAAAAAATTAAAGCTGCAACATTTCTTGCAAGTTTAAGATGAAGTACTAAAAAAAGAAAGTTAAATAAAAATATTTTATAAACCTAATAAAAATGCACATAAATTCTAAACTTAAACTAAAATTAAAATATAAAATAAAACAAATTCAAAATATGAATAAATACTATAATACGTAGTACATAAACAATACTGAAATAACACTGTCATGTTCATGTGTTTTCATGTCTTGATACTTAAACATTTGATTTTCTGTGGGTTATCAGTTCAAAAATAAAAAAGGAAATCTCATAAATACCTACTTTGCTCATACCAATGCAGCAAACCACCAGTATGTGTGCGGTGTGTGTGTACCTGGTTGAGAAAGGCGCAAAACTGACTGATAGACATCCTGACAATCTTTCTCTCTTTGGAACAGCAGATGAAGCATCTGGAAGGTTTTACAGCGGATCAGGAGCGGACAACCAGACGCGGTTAAAGGAAGTTTCTCTACTGACGCAATGTGATGATGCAGCACCTTCAAACACACAGGATTGAAATATAACCAGTGTTATCAGACATATCTAGATGTGTGTTTCTAAAAGACTCAACAACATATGCCCTATGGTGGAAGAGATGGTTGCATCCGAAATCAGGCGAGAAACAAAAGTTGTATGTCTGAATTCACAGGACTCGTAAAAGAGTAGGCAAAAAGTACAAGGATGACCTACTACATCCGGCGAGATTCTGAAGTGTGCATATGATGGACACTTTATTATCCCATGAGGCCACGGAAGATGATTTTGTGAATTGCAGTGAAGCGACACAACTGACTTTGGTAGGTCACATGATAATGACAACATGGTGAATGTTGTCCAGATCACATGTCCGGATTACATTCATACAAAACACATTCACACAATATAGAACATACTTTCTTAGCAGTTGTGTGAAGTGATTACTTGTTCAAAATATGTACCTACTCAACAGAGTATGCGATTTCGGATGCAGCCCATGACACTCTGTTCCGACTTGCCTACATTACCCATGTTTCTTTGCGTGTACTGTTGGTTTGTTCCACGTAGATAAGGTGAGTGGCAGTCAAGTAAAGAGTGCCCAGAGCTGATGACTTTTCAGTGTACCTGTTCAGTAGTTTCACATACTCCACCTGCAAAAAAAAGCAGTAAGAAAAGTATTAGCGCAGAATTATTGACTCAACAGTCCTCTACTAAAAGCACTAGCCGATGACTGAAGGGGTTAAGCAGACAGACTCGCGTCTGTTGGGTTTGGATGTGCCCCTCAGGGAGCAGAACCCATCATCCAGACTATGTTTAACACAATGGAGAGGAAATCCTACAGAACCTCTTAAGTCTACTGTCAGCACATCCTGTTGCTCCATCTCTGCATTTTTGTCATTTTGGTTACTGAGTAACAAGCGATGAAACAATTGTAACACAAGATGCCACTTCAGCACAAAGGAACAATTTATTATGAGTCAAAGTCTAATGTACTCTGCTCGTTTATACTTGATGAAGAACTAATCTTTTCAGTAACTGATTAGAAAAATAATTTCAGGTCTTTAGCTGGTCAGGTGTGAGATCTCTATTGTCTCCATAAAGTGAACAGGTTAGATCCTGTATTTCTGCATGACATGAAACTCAAGCTAAGCCACAGTAGGTCAAATTAAGATTATATTGATCAAGATTCAAACAAATAATTCTCTGTGAGCGGGAAGAGCAGATCTAACCAGAGTTGTTAACTGCTAATGTAGACCAGAGTTCCTGCGGTACTGCTGATTCAACATGTGACATCCTTTGAGCTGATCCCTCAAACACACAAAAAATACAAAAGGGTGCAGCAATCATCTTTTAATACTTTTAAAAACTATCATATGACCATATAATGTTATGTAACAAAATAAACATATTTTCTACAGCATTACTTCTCAATCCTGGTCTGCAACCCAAACTGCACATCTTGGATATGCAAATTTCAAATAAGATGATGAGCATAGCATCAAGTGTGTTTAAATAAGGTAGATGGGATCCTTAATGACCAGGACTGAGAATCACTCAGTAAATGAAGTACTATAATGTGTAGGAAAAAAATATATAATGTAACTTAATAGAAACTAAATATTTTCTAAATAATAATTTATACATGTTTATAATATTATTATTTCTTCACAGTATAAATTGGGTCTTTATACAATAAACTACATAGATGCCTTTTAAATTTTAGAGCAGGGTCCCTCACACGAGTATGATCATATGGCATCTAAAAGGTTGAAAACCCCTGCTTTAGGCAAAGCTTCATAGAATCATTTTCTCTCCCTTTGCCTACAGGTTCACTTGAGCAAACTTACAAGTGGAATTTTGAAGTGCCAACTGAAAACACCTTCAAAGTCCTTTCAGATTCATTAAGATGCGTTACATTCAGCAACCAACTTTAAAATGCATTGGATGAATTTAACAGCATACTAAAGCTCGGAATCGAGTTAAACAACCCTTTTAAACGCTTCCTTCTGCATGTTTTTACACCTAACGTTAGAGTGTTATTGAGTCTGACATTACATGAGATCTCCCAACTTTACACGAGTAAGTTAAGTTACACCTGTTGATCAGATTCAGACCTACCTTTGGCGTTATAATGTGCTCCATATTTTCATTGGGTTATCATCCAACTGTCCACGTTAAACTTTCGCTGTTTGTGTGTTTAGTGGTTAACATAATTGTTTCGGGAAATCGTTTTACGTTGCTGGCGTTCCTCCCTAACATGAGGAGGACTACAATCATGTCAGCTGACGGGAGCAGATATCGCGATAAGTCAAAGAGCAACGTGATTTCAGTCGCCAACTTGATGTACGGGTCGTCAACAGTTCATTCCTGAAGCATGCTGTAATAATTTAACACTACAGTACGTATGCATATAAAAACATATTGATTAAAAATAAATTATGAAAATTATTTTTGTAACACAATGTTAACGGTAAAAATAAGTCCTATAGCTACAATAGCTGTTATATAAAAAGCTATAAATAGTTATAAATAGTCTATACGTGAAAGGGACAAATAAAATAAACAAATAAAAGTTGGCTTTTCAATTTGACATGACTCTGACTCTGACATGAAGCTGAAGTTTTCAGAGTGCTTGGGGGCTTGTTGAAAAGTTAAAGAACAGTAGTAAAAATGTACAAAATAATAATAAGTAACTAACTACATTTGATTAAAAAAAACATACATAACTAAAATAATTTAAACAATACAAATACTCATGTTTATAATATGACCCCCAACCCCATTAATTGCATATAGGTCTTTATTTATGAAAATATAATAGCCTATATAGCCTTTTATATAGATGCAGTAAAAAAAAAAAAGTGTTGATGCCTTAAATTTTTAAGTACAATCAACTTGGATGTTTCCAACTTAAATTACATTAAACTGATTTATTTTTTAATTAGTTGAATCTTGCATAAAAGTTGAAAACTTATTTTGATGACTTAAAGCAATGTAAAGCATATGTTGTCATAATGTATTGATAATTTAAAAAAATTACAGTGTGGAGGTCCCTCGCATGTCTGGGGTTCTGTGGCATCTAAAAGATCGAAAACCCCAAGACAAGTCATAACATATCTGGAAACATCATTAACCCTTACCTACACCCAGACACAAGCAGTGCAGGGGGGTTGCTCCTGCAGGGTGGCCCAACCAGATTTATCTAATTGGTGGGGCGGACCCCCATCGCTTGACCCATTGTCACCTTAACGACCTCCCGACTCTTAGGCTCAGTTATCTGATAACAGGCGCACTAATGAAGTACATTAACATACAGCTCACCCAGCTTAAGCCAAATTCCCTCTCAAATACCTGTGTCCTGCACACACAAAAGCACAAAATACACATGCTGTAGAATCTGACAGAACAATGACAACAATTGTTGACTGCAAGGGTTTTATTAAAATCAAGGCTCTTTATTCAAGAAATACAGCTAAAAAAAATGTGTTACTGCCTCCGAACATGCACACTTCCTCGCGATAAACAGTATGTGAAAAGATTATGTCTGAATTCAAATTATTTCAAAAACAGTAGGCAAATGATCGAGGGAGATTCTGAAGTGTGCATCCAGTGGACACTTTAGTATGCCATGAGTTCAAGGGAGAGAAGTTGTAAATAGTGAAGTGATGCAACTGATACTGTAGATCCCATGAAACTGACAGCATTACGGATGTATTACGTTCATACATTCATGCTGTATAGAACATACTTTTTTAATGATTGTGAAATACTCAAATTAAAAAGAAGTACTCAGAGAGAATGTGATTTTGGACGCAGCCCATGAGATTATTTTTTCTGATGGATAGGCCTTCAGGTGCTAATGTGTTTTTAGGACTCTCAACCGAGCAGAGAATCAGATAAAGAAAACAGAGATGAATAAACAGAGGATTCCAATACGGGTCCTCACACCATCTGTGCTCGGGCCCTGATCAGGCCCTTCAGGATAATGATAGAATCTGCAGACAGATTTGAATGCTGTCTAACGCTTAACTCAGCTCCATCTGACTATATCATTTCATGTCATTCCTGCACTCTCAGCATGTGACCAGGTTTGAGCATGTCAAAAGGGTTAAGCTATAGAAAGGACAGAGATGTTTGTCTCATTTTACCTGTATGTGGTATGATAATGGTTTCATGTTACGTTCAAGTCACCTAAAAACTTTTAGACATAAGTAGATATAGTTAGATATTATGCATTTGTTTTAGAATTGTGAAGTAAACTGAACATTTTGCTTTTTAGAAATTATATTAAATTAAAAGATATTTAGAACAACCTGAAACTAGTTCCAATTTCCTGTCTATTCCACTCTCAGTCTCTCTTTCAGCTCCTCTCACTTTCTCTCTTTCCAGCGGGCTCTTTTTCCTCTCACTTTCACTATTTCTCTCCTCTCTGTCTCTCTCTCTCTAGTCTCCCTTCCATAATCCAAGCAGAAAATCTGCCAAATGGTGTCACATTACTATAGTTATTTTGTTTTTCAGAAAATACATTTACCATCTGGAGCTCACACATACACGTACACACGTACACACGTACACACGCACACACACGTACACACACACACACACACACACACACAAAATATTCCTCTTGGTCTCAGTCTCTGAGATGTACAGAATTATTACAGGGATAGTTCATCCAAATGTTTTTATTTTGGCATCACTTACTCATCCTCAAGTTGTTCCAAACCTGTTTCTTTCTTCTGGTGAACACAAAAGAAGATAATTATTTTGAAGAATGTTGGTAACCAGTTGACTGTAGCCAATGACTTCCATAGTATTTTTTTCCCTATGGAAGTCAATGGCCTGTGAATGTCCATCAGTGGCTAACTTTTTGATTTAAAATACCTTATTTTGTGTTAAGCAGAAGAAAGAAACTCGAACAGGTTTGGAACAACTTGAGGATAAGTAAGTGATGACAAAATGTTACTTTTTGGCTGAACTATCCATTTAAGCAGCTATAGTTAAAGTTTATGAATTTGTATTGACTTTAAAGACTGTTATTCAGAAAGCCCAGTCTGTCACACCCTCAGGAGACATGCAGGCTTTGTTGACCTGATGCTAATTTGTTAGTTCTTAGACAATGGCAATTTACTGTCTTTTGTGTGAGGACTAATCTCTGTTAATAGCTTGACACAATCAGGTCTGCCCAGCTGCAACAGAGATTTATGTGAACGATGATGTATGTTGTTTTTTGTATACAGTCAAAGATGTAAAATCTGAATGAAGGTAAATCGGTTTTACCGGGGTTGTAGAACATATTTGGAAATGAACAATGAAGACACAGATGTGCACAGATATTCTGAGAATGTAGATGTGTTGGTAGAATAAAATAAATAGAAAGTATAACATGAATTTATTTGAATAGTCTGTTTAGTGAAACAGTCAAAGCATTTACATAATTTTCCTGTATAGAGTGAAAGAACTGTCTTTTTAGAGGTTTAGAGTTTTCACACGAGGGTTGACACACAATATATGGTGTGGACAGCAATAAAAAAATAAATATAAGCACAATTAATAAATATGACTCAGATTGCATTAAATAAAGGTTCACTTAGCAACAATACATGCTGAATGCTGACTAATGATTTTGTTTTATGCAGTGAATTATTGGCCAAAGCCACAAAAAAATTAGCTATTTAAAAAAGTATTTTTTTTTAATTAAAAAATTCTACATTTTCCTATAATCTGTCTCATGTTAATAATAGAATGTTGTAGTTGAATAATAATACACCACTTTTTATTCAGGTAGTTTGATATATTTTGTTCAGGTAGGCCTACTGTTTCTTAAGACTTGAGCACTGCTCATTAAAGAGTTTCATAGTTGGTAACTAAGTGTGTGTGTGTGTGTGTGTTTAGATGTGCATTGATAGTGAATTGACCTCCCTGTCTCAGATAAAGTAAACAGAGACAGTCTGTAACCTTTACCCCCAACAAAAGTCTCCATCGTCTCCAGACATGCATTCTATTTATTTAAGTTAGGCTATGTATCTAACATAGGCCTACTGTTAATATTTAGGTTTGTGTGAAAGAGGCATGTTTTAATCTCTATTTTAAAGTGTAAATTTTAGACTGATTACATTTTGGTTAGCCTACTCTCACTTTAAAAAAGGATTTTGATCTGATTAAAGTTTTGATTTGTGACCCAGGGAGATGATGGTGTAATTTAGAGTGAGTTCATCACCACTTGTCATATCTTGTAATTAGCAGCGCAAACATACAAATAAACAACCCTGCCAATCACTAAACCCCGCCTAAATTTAAATGCAGATGACCGATAACGAGGGGCTGATGGGAGCAGGAGGGGCTGCTAATGTGTGTGTGTGTGTGTTTGCAGGGGGATGGTGTCCAGCAAACACATAAATGACGCCTGCAGACAGTATCTCTAGGTGCGACTGGCTTGCGGGATCTTCGTAGCAACTTCACATTTAAACCGACTTCTGCAACCCAAAGGATTTAAACAAACGCAATCATGACTTCATCCGTACCCTGCGCGCTCTTTCTGTTCATATCAATCGCTCTCCCGTTGTCTTACGGGTTATCGGGGGAATACTGTCACGGCTGGACGGATTCCTTCAACTCTTGGCACCGGGGATTCCAGTGTCCGGAGCGCTTCGACGGCGAGGACGCGCGCTACTGCTGCGGGACATGCGTGCTCAGGTACTGCTGCACATACGCGGAGGCGCGCCTCGACCAGAGCACCTGCGACACTGGCTCTGAATCGGAGAACACTGGTGACATGAGAAAGATGACAGAAAGTGGTGAGTATTAATATAAACTTGTGTAATTCATAATGTTGGTAGCACTTTATTTTAAAGTCCTACCCATGTAGCCTACTGTACATATTACAGGAATTACAATAACTGGGTAATAATAACTAGGTACATAAACCTAACCGTAACCCCTGTAGTTAGTTTAGGTAAATCCTTTAAGTTAATGAAAGTACGCGTTTTTGTAGTAGTGCGTAGCCTACTTACATTTAAGCATTATTCAAAGCAAAATTATTCCCCAGATGTCAACTCCAGTCTCCAGGGGTCATACAAAAAATGTCCCCAGATATCAACTCCAGGGGGTAAAATATTGCCCTTATTAAAAAGATAATTTATGAATTTCTATTCATACAACAGTATTCATTCAAGTTATTTAAGGAAGTAAATGTTTGCTTTGAATAATTTTACGGAATACATTTATTGGCCACTCCCTTTTACACTGCAGCAAAATAATCTAAAATTATATAATCCCTTGAATGAATGCTGTTGTATGAATAGAAATTCATAAATTATCTTTTTATTACGGGCAATATTTACCTCCTGGAGTTGATATCTGGGGACAGTTTTAACTTGTTATTTTTTCTAAGCATATTAAAATACCAAGACCTAGATTCTTCAAAAATGTTTTTTATTTTTTTACACGTATTTTTATTTAAATTGTATTATTTATTTATTTAATTTTATTATCCCTGACATGCATCTCATGTTTAATTCTCTTATCTCTCTTCCTCTCTAGTTCCAACATATCTCCCCTTTGTGATTGTGGTGAGCGCGTTCCTGTCGTTCGTTCTGGTCGGTGCGGTTGTGTCAATCTGTTGCTGCCAGTGTGTGAAACCCAAAGCGAGCGATCGACCATCAGGGCCATCCGCTGCTCAGACCAGCCTGTTGGAGTCTGGAGGACCCTCAGTGGACAGCTCCACCCCATCCCGCACCTCCACCTCAGGCTCCTCCATGACAAACACTCGCCCTCCACCATCTGAACTCAGCGTTAACCTCTACGGGCCGATGGGAAACACATTTCCAACTTCGCAGTCGCAGCAGTATGTTCCTCCAGTCCCCCAGGGGGCACCACAGTTCTATCAGCCCTACATGAATTACGCTCTCCCCCCAGAGCGCGCCATGCTGATGGCCCCAGCTTTCCTAGACGGCCGTTCAGCGTTTGGGCAGGTGCACGGGCAGCCTTTTCCTCAGGCCCCCATGCACACAGAGCCCATCTATCCAACTGTCACTATCTGATGATGTTTATAAAGCTACAACTGGACTGTAAAACTCAGTGGGGCTACACAAAGAATAGGAATGTCTCGGGAATATGTTGTTTTCGCTGTATTGGATGGATTTTCTGTACCCACATACACAATTAAATCATGACTGACATCGTGTTGGTCATGGTTGGTACCTTTTTATGATGTATTAATGCTTCTCATAGGAGTGTATTTGCATGAACACTTGATTGTTTGCTCAGCAATCACTGATTGTGATGTTATTTATAACAGATTAGAGAATAAATTTATTTTCATAGGCAATTTGTTAGACTCCTCATTTTAACTGAATATTTCAAGATGTGTGTGAAACTACACCTTAAAAATAAAGGTTCTTTATTAGCATCTATGGTTCTATGAAGAACATTGAGCTTTTTTGGAAACTTATATTCCACAAAAGGTTAAAAATAGTGGGAAAAGGTTTTTTAGATTTTTTTTAAACGTTCTTCACGATAAAAAAAGCTGTTCTTTCACTGAAAATGGTTATTCTATGGCATCACTGCAAAAACCCTGTTTTACAACCTTTATTTTCAAGAATTAATATTAAGCAATGTAAAATGATTTCATTCTCATAAAAATCCAGCAGAATTGGTTTAATTTGCTGAAATGAAGTGACGTTACAATCTTTTCCTTAAACTGAAGTTCTAAAGATCTTCTAACTATCTGAACAGTAAGTGGCTCTTTGTTCTGCAAAGATCTTTGGGTTTTTCTTTACAGTACTTTGTGAATGTAAAGCTCTCCAGCCGTTACAGCTGCTTGTGTGTGTGGCTGAGCAGGTTTTGTGCGAATGCGAATGGTTTTTATGCGTTTGTGTGTGGAAACGGCAGGAGGGGAGAGGACAAAAGATGCAGATCTCCTCACGCCCCTGAGAGTGGGATTAGTGCAGGTAAAGAGGGGTGTGTGAGTGAGATTAGGCTCTGGATGGCCCAGCTGGAGTTTAAGCAGATGCGTATGAGTTCATTAACGAGCTGCAGATGAACCTACTGAGTTTCAGGCCAAATCCTGTTATGATGTAAAACATGTCGTGTGAAACACCAGAAGATAAAGACACATGAATAAATACAGCCATGCAGCCAAATAAATCTGCTCAGGTACACACAACTGTAAAAACAAGTTACAACCAATCTGCTTTTCCTCACTCATAAAACACACAGGAGAACAGTAAAACACACAAAGCTGCTGATATTTACTGTTTTAGTTCGATCTTGCTTGGTCAAAAACTTCTCAATGTAAATATTAAAGTATATGTAATATAGGTAAGAGTCTGGACTTATTCCACACCAAAATATTAATGGTTAAATACAAATTACACTATTTTGCAAATCAAAAGGTTTTGATTTTCTTTGTATCATAATTTCCAATTTTCCAATAATTTTTGTTTTTGAGAACCCCATTGTCCAACACAATATTTGAAGATATTTATGTTGTATTTATGACAACTCTGCTTGTTTTCAACTTTTTTATTAACAGAAACTATGAACTGATATAAAAGTAATTAAACACGATTCATTTTGTGATTCCATAGGATACAAAATTCTGTTTTTTTTTTTAATATAATAATGGTTATTGAGGAGAAAAAGAAATTGGATTTCCATTTATGTCTTGATTTTCTGTTAAGTTTTTAACTTAAGTTTAAGTTGGCTGATGCCACCTGGTTGAGAACCACTGTAGTACTCGTTAGCACAATGGTATGAAGTCCTTTATGTGTGTGTGTGTGTGTGTGTGTATGCGTTTAAACTTTAAACTTAAATATTGTAGAAATTTCTGTGGAAATCACCAGCACGCCACAAATCCTTCCTTGAATGTAAATATCGCCCCACTCAGGATCAAGAGTGGAGTGCAAAAAGAATGTAGAACTCTACTGGTAAAGACATTAGCAAAAAAAAAGAAAGATTCTGGCATTGTTAGGGGTCATGGGTGAAAGGTCAAATTCCAGATACACATCAAGCCAACCACAGACAGAGTGACACCAAGAGAGAAAAATAATGAATCAATCAGATGACATAATCAACTGAAATGAATTGTATTATATTAATTTATCATCATGACAAGACGTCCAGAGTTTATTAGTTTCACACATTTTAATTATTAAAAAACGCAATGATTCAATACTAAAGAATCTAACAAATTCTTAATGCCCCTTTCGGTCAAATTCCAGAACACAAAGTAACAGCTCATTTGCTCAAATTGAATGATGGTTCTACAAGAACTTGGGCTTTAGAACTCTCATTCAACTTGTGTTCCATTATTATTCTACTTCTAAGGGGCTGTTCACACAGGACATGTTCTTGCGTTCATTCTGCGTTAATATTCATTTTTGTTGGTAACTCTAGTGTTTGTTTCAATGCCTGTTGTACCATGTCTCGTTATTTTAGCATCTAATGCCATTAGAACCACTTTTTAAAGACACTTAAAGGTGCAGTAAGCGATTTCTGAGAAACGCTGTTGAAAGTGGATCGGACCAAGCACCAAAACACACTTATAGCCAATCAGCAGTAAGGGGCGTATACTCACGAGGGGGAGATGATTGTGCGGCATAGGCTGTTTGTGAATTTGGGGGGCGGAGCTATCAAGATAGGGGTGTGATCCTTTTGGTAGGAGCATGTTAGTTTTGGTGATTTACAATTTTTAACAGCGTTTCTCAAAAACCGATTACTGCACCTTTAAAGTTAAAAACTCGCTCTGTTCCATTCCAATGCTCTCCATCTACATCATGTGTGAACGGCCCATAAGACATTCTAGAACACTGACATGGTCTGAGACAGTCCATGGTTACATAATACAAGAAAAACAATTTGCACTTACCAAGAAAAAACATTGAAAAACATGTGAAATCATATCATTATTAATGAATTAAAATGATTAAAGATCAGTTTAAGCATTAAATGAATACCGTACAAATGGCTCTATTGACTAAAGCCACTTTAGAGAATTTAGTTTGCACTAATGGATTAGACTTAAACCCCACACGGAATAGTACATTTCTAAACCAGCATCCATTTCCACTACAAACTAAATACAGACACAGTACAAATACAATATCAAGGTTTCACTAATATAAAATGAAATGGAAAAACTGAGACCTCACGTACACTGAAGCAGGAAGACAGATGAAATACAGGATCACTATGAGGGGTCAAGTTATCAGACTGCAGATGGTCCATTCCTTCAGGACAATAGTGTGTGTGTGGCTTCATGGTGACTGTCAGTGTGTATGTGTTTGGAAACGTGCATGCATGAGAGCGTAAGTGAGTGCGTTTATGTGTAAATTAGTTTCTGTTAGGGTTGTGTGTGTGTGTAAATCAGGTTTTCTTAGGGGTTGTTTGGAGCCACGTGTGTCACTCGTCTGGTTTTCTCTTAGGTTTTTTAGGGTTGCGTGAGCGACTTTTGGCTTTGCAGAGAGGACAGATTGGTGCATTCCGATGGATTTGTTGGTGGCAGGACAGACAAGCCTGGAAACAGACAACAAATTAAATCAATATCATCGATTTAGCAGTTTCTAATGCGTTTCCACAATAAGCAGAAACACTACCATTTCAAAAGTTTGGGGTCAGTAAGATTACATTTTTTAACCAGCAAGGATACATTCAATTAATCAAAAGTGACAGTAAAAACATGTATTAAGGATTTCTATTTCAAATAAACTTTCTTTTCATCAAATAATCCTGAAATAAAATACATCATGGCTTCCACAAAAATATTAAGCAGCACAACTGCTTTTAATATTGATAATAATAATACATGTTTCTTGAGCACAAAAATCAGCAGATTATAATCTGGATCATGTGACACTAAAGACTGGAGTAAAATTCAGCTTTGGCATCACAGAAAACAACATCAACAAACATCCCCTTCCATTTTCAGTGTCCTCTAAACAATAAGACCCTTACGGAGGCACTAAAGGAAAATTATATATTTGAATGCTTTAGCATTCTCTCGCAAAAGTTTCGCGTTCCCAAGAATCTTGGGATTCAAGAACTCAAGCTTTGAGAGTGAATGCAAAGTTTCATGAGGGAACACAAAACATTTGCGAGAGAATGCTAAAGCATTAATTTCTCCTCCCATCTCCATGTCCCTTTGAGTTTCATTCAATTACATGATATAAAAGTTTGAATTTTTTTACCAGTTTCAAAGTTTTATTACATTTTTGTTCCTGAAATCCACCCTTTTGCTGGTATCAGGGTAATCCTGGTTTTCTGGATTAAAGGTATTTTACCAAAAAGTTTTGAAAAACACAAACTGACGATTTAATCCAGATCAAAACCAAGATTGGATTTTGTGATCTTATCCAATCTACAACCCATTTTCAAGATTTGATCCAACCCGATCCAATCTTTTGAACAACTGGGCCCTGGCATTTTAGGAGTCTTTTTGACAGACTAACTAATACCTGGACCATCTACCTCATAACATTCAATTTAGAATGCAAGCTCACAACTAAGCTAATATATTATTTCTTTTGCTAGTAATGTGTAGACACTGTCAAATAAGCTAAACATATTTTTCCACATGTGATTGCTGATATTTGAGTGTGTGTACACAGATAGAGATGCACTAATGTCAAAAAGTACCTTCATAGGTGGCGGCTGCTGGCGGAACGTCGCTGTCTGCCTGGCGTCCTGTTTCCGCGCAGCTTGAAGCTGCTGGGCTGCAGCCGCCGCCGCTGCTAGGGATTCTGGGATAGGAGGTTCCTGAGGTTCGGTCTGCCACTCAGCCTTTTGCTTTTCAAAGTAACTGAAAGGAGAGGAAGAGCATGCAAACAAACAGTAAAAATTTTAGTCTTCCTTAACACACCACACACAGTCTCTGTCTAAGATTCACTCTGTTTGCAAACACACACTCCTACACTGCAATGACTCATTTTTAGGAGTTCCCTCAGTCACACACACACACACACACACACACACAAAGGAACAGTGTTACTAACTCCAGTGAGAGCTTTTCCTCTTCTTGGCTGAGGTCAGGGAGTCTCTGTAGGCCGAGGGTCATCCTCAGGGCGTCCACGTGTTCTTTCAGGGGCTTGTATTCATCATGGAGACGTCTGGTTGACTCCAGCAGTTTGTTCAAGTCACTTTCAGACTGTTTGATAGTGTTTTCCATCTGGGAGAAGAAATACAGCCACTCCATCAATCACAACGGTGGGAAACTAATGGTTAGGCATCTGATCTGGTTACTGGGTCAGATCCTGGATATTGCAGAAATATTTAGCTTGTAGAGTAAAATACTGTACAGTAAACAGTAAAAATAACTTTTCTATTTTAATATATTTTCATGTAATTAGTTCCTGTGATGGCAAAGCTGAATTTTCAACAGCCATTACTCCAGTCTTCATTGTCACATGAAAATCATTCTGATACTCTGATTTGGTACTTGAGTAATGTTACCGAAGTTGAAAACATTTGTGCTGCTTACGTAATATTTTTGTGGAAACTGTGCATTTTATTTCAGGATTCTTTGAATAAAAGAAAGTTCAAACATACTTCCATTTATTTGAAATAGAAATCTTATGTAACATTATAAATGTTTCTACTGTCACTTTTGATTAATTAAATGCATCCATGCTTAAATTCTTTTTAAAAAAAACATACTGACCCAAACTTTTGAACAGTAGTGTAAATTGTAATATATTATTATTTTGCATGCTTTTGTATAAGCGCATTAAAGGGATAGTTCACCCAAAAATGAAAATTCTTTCATAATTTACTCACCCTCAAAATGTATGTCAGTATTTACCCCATACTATAGAAGTCATTGGGGCCCATCAACTGTTTGGTTACCCATATTCTTCCAAATATCTTCTTTTGTGTTCAGGAGAAGAGAGAAATTCTTACAGGTTTGGAATGACTTGAGGGTGAGTAAATGATAATGGTAAATTTCCATTTTGGGTGAACTATCCCTTTAAGTCATAATAAGTGTAGAGGCACTAGATATATATTTACTTTATTGAGTGCACTACAAACATGATAAATAGTGCAATAAAAACAATCATTTTTCATTGTTTACCACATTGATATCAGCGTGTATAAGACGCAGTTCCTCTACGTGAGCCATTTTCTCCTGCAGCAGAAGATCCATTTCCTGTTTGTACTCTCTCAGGTGCTTCTCCTCTGACTCAAGAGCATCAAACTCACTCCTCAGTCTAGACTTGATCTTCTCCATCTGAATGGTCTTGTTCCTGCAAAACCACACTAAACATGTAGCCAGTGCTTGACAGAATATGACAATGCAAAGACTTATGATCTGGTGGATGTGGTTTTAAACGAATAAGACATCTACTATGTGGTTTCAGTGACCCATCACAAAACGTTTTAGACTTCGTGTGTGCACATCAATACTTAATCAGACAATCGAGTGTGTTTTGAGTTTTATTAATGATTAAGAGCCGTTCTGCAGGAAATGAACCGTTTGCTCTGCAGTTTCGTGTCTAACCACAACAGGATGGTTTTCAAACTCTCATCCAGGCTAAAACAACGGTGTGATGATCAGAGACTTAGTTAATGCTGAATTAGTGCGAGATGTTTTCAGATTTAGTGCAAAGATCCGTGTTTTTATGGTTTACGCGGTTTGCTTTAGCATCATGACCGACACAAAGAGCCTGTCAAAGGATCATTTTATAGAATAGTTTTAGGTAGACTAAATGCAAATTCATGCATTGCTTATTAAATGCAATGATTAAGGGAAAATACGCTGTTTTTCGTGATCCAGGCGGAATTGGCCAGATGTTGAACACAGGCTAGCGAATCTGCTTTAGGATCAATCTCAGCTTTTCTTACCTTATTTCTTTGATGTTTTCTAGCTTGCACATTATCTCTTGCTCATCCGCCATGGTGGACTATGAAATTGTAAGAATTTCGTGGGAATAAGAAAAGAAGCAACGATTGTAGCGGATATCCCTCTCATAAGAAAGACAATAGAAATGCTAACCAGCTGTGGACAACAGCAACACGGCGCTGACTACATTTCCCACAATCCTCGGCGGGGTTTAAAGGGAGAGTGTGTTAAATAAAACCCAAACAAGCGTTTATGATATTCAGATATGTTCTTAATCTTATATGAAATGCTGGGCAAGCTATATAAAAATGTTGCCAACTAAAGATACCTACTACATTTAGGGACAGTATAGGGACAAATGTATAACTTGTTACATTTTAAGCCACTTCAAGTTCATATTCTTAAAAGTATTAAATATTAAAGTCAACTGTAATGTAGATGTTTATTAGAAAACAAACAAACAAAAACACATCAACTAATACAGAAAACATTTATATTGCCGATTACTGTGTCTGAGTGTACATGACAATTCACTAGTTTCACAAGCGAGTGTATTTTCCCATTCATGTACCGTGGTGGTTTCCATGGTATTTCATAGAATGATACATGTCCAAAAACAGTGGTAACGCAGGGGTTATTTTTTGATACTTTAAAGTGCTTTGTGTAATTGTGATGGTCAAATGTCTTTATCTGCACAAGCTGCGCTTCAAGAGCAGTTTGAACTGGTGAACCATAATTGGCAAACGATAGGATGCATTTGCAGTTTGGTTTCGATTGCTTGTAGGCAAATCAACTTAGTTATTTATTCGAGGAACCAAATGATTCAGTTCGCGACTGAACCCTCCAAACAATTTAGAAAGAATCGCGAACCGCGCTTAAGCAATTCACAAAGGCAAAACATCAAAAAGAATCGACTCAGAATGATTCTTTTCACGAATCGGGTATCGCACTTCTGATTCAAAACAGACAACCGAAAATGCAAGGCAGGCGGGCTTGAAAGGTCAATTATTATAAGGGAAATGCATCGCTAAACAGACCTTTACTACTGAAAAGCGACATTTTAAAAAAAATCGACGTTGTCCCATAGCTACCGAGAATTGTAGTTAAACAGTTTAAAAGCATTCGTGGCGCGCTACTGCCCAGCATTCTTAGGCTGATACTTAATTATAACGGATTTAAAAACAACAACAACAACAACAGCTGAATATTGTATCAACCTGAACAATAAAGTCGGGTGTCTGACGGTCATATCGGACAGCGCTCAACGTGTCCGATATATTTTTACCCCGGTTGCTGCATTACCGGAGTCCCGTCCACCCACGTGCTTCAACGGAGGCAGCAGCACGCACTTTCTGCGGCTCTGCCCGTCCGAGCGCAGCGACAGGGGGCGTCCGACGTGTTGCCGAAGCGCAGGCGGTGGGTGCAGTCGGGGCCGCTGTAGGGAGGGAGGGAAGTGAGGAAGGGAGGGCGAGAGGAGAAGGAGGGATGGAGATGGATGATAGATGCTTATGTAGCGCGTCCCGTACGTTTGCCGTTATGCTCGGCCGCAGACAAACTTGCATCCTCCCGTGACTTTCTTTCTTTCCCCTGCTGCTCCACCACCCATGAAGCAGGACGCAGGGCGAATGCGTGCCACTGCCAGTGTTCCGGAACGCGTCGTGATCGCTTATTTATCCGTCTGATAAATGGTTTTGGAGCTCACCGCGCCCGCCGGTGCAGGCCCTGCGCTCCAGCGCTGCATCCCGCACATCCAGCGGGTTTTCCGGGTCAGAGTGAGCTGCAGCACCGCAGAGTCCAGCTGCAACATCCCCAACGCCGGCTCCAGTATCATCGTAAACATCGAGGACGGCAAGGAAGAAGACTGCACTAAAGCTAAAGTGAGTATGTGTGTGTGTGTGATTGCGTGTGTGTCGCAGGAGAGCCGCGCGAGCACGACCGACATCGCCATTCAAGCTCATTATTTCACAACATTTTCGGGTCTGTTTTTACTTTCATGGGCAAATGACGAACTTTGTTGATTGCTTACATGACTAAGTAAAATCACACTCATTGTAAATGTTTCAGGTGGGGCGAAATGATCTTTAAATCACGGCCAGACCTGATGCTCACGACTCACGTTTTACAGAGATTTACTGAGTTCAGTTTGACAGGCGGCGCGCAAATATGCACTCGTTGACTTTTGAAGCTATAGCCTACAAATGAGGACCTATCATAGACAGAATACTTTAAAAAAAATATTAATATAATCATATTTATTACTTTTGTCTTTAAACCTGATTCTCACACAAACCTGTTGACATTATTAGAGCCGAAGCAAAACATAATGTAGGCCTATGAGCTGCTCAAATAGTGTGGGCGCTTCAAAAATCCACAAGTAGATCTTTGACACTTTACATTTTATAGGCTAAACATTTGGCCCTCGCAAGAATATCCAAACATGTACTCTTATGCATCCCTAAAAAGGTGTATTTCTCTATTTACAGGCAGGTATTCAATAATAAACTTTTTTCTACTCTTTATCCACTGTAAGCATGAGGCATTACACTTGAAGGATGCTGGTCATGAGAAATTAGGTGTCCTTGCTTGGGCCAAACAGAGTCAAGTCAGGTATGGGTCCACACACACACACACACACACACACACACACACACACACACACACACACACACACACACACACACACACACACACACACACACACACACACACACACACACACACACACACACTTTTTTGGCATTGTGCATACATGTCAGTGTCACAGCATCGGTCTATTGCTGCTGCATTTGCCTGTGTTTGCGTTTTTGCATACACCTAAAGCATTAAAAAGTAAAGAATGCAGCTTCAGGTAAGAAGAGGCCTTCTGTCTGTGCATCTCTGTGTGAGTGAGTGCATGCTTTCACCTCCTGCTGACTATTTTGTCAAAATTGCACCATAAGATGCTGCCACCTACTGTCTTTAGACCGAGTGCCTGAGCTCGGAGCTGCACCGTGGGCCTTAAATGAGCTTCATCTAGCCATGAGCTCCAGCATAGAGACTCCACTTGTTGCTATGAGACAAACCAGCATAAACCTGTGTGTCTGCACTCGAGTGCATGGTGGCCTTGCTGATTGTACGCCTGTGTTGTGGAGGAGGTGAGGAGAAGAGAAGGGAAAAAGAGAAGGAAAACAAGGCAGAAATGAAAGGGGAAGAGCGAGGGAAGAAAAGGAGAAGGAAGGAGACTTTTAAGAGGAGGATGCATTCTGTTGTCCGGCTTGTGTTGTTTTGCTGCCGGCTGTTTGAGTCGCAGAGTATTGTGTGATTTTTAGGACATGAGATATGAGCTGTGCATGTGTTTACAAAAAAATGAAATTCGGTGGTCCACTCGTGCGGCTCACTAAAAGCTGCCCCCACATGATGGGCCACTTGTTTGTTCATGAGATGGCCATTCTGGCTCACTATGCTGCAGTTTCCCTCTGCAGTCAGTCAAGTGTTTGGCGTGAAAGAGTACGGAGCCTTCCTGTGTTTGTTCACCGGCTCTTTTATGTTTTAAATGAAGTCTTACCTTTGCAAAAGGCTATTTGTATCCAATCGCGGCTCTCTGGCTCTTTCTTACTGAGGAGCAGGCTTCTACCTTTTCACCCAAGGAGGAAAATTTCAGCTTTCTCCTTCTTTCTTCCTTGCGTTTTCATGTGCATCATGCACACAGACCTCTCCCTCCCACTCAGCAGCAGTTTCCCGATCAGTTCTTAAAGCTGGCCGGGTAATTTACAGAGAAAGCGTAAGTTTACGTCAGACACATCATAATGAACATGGGTGCGTGAATGAGCAGCTGATCTTTTTTTTTTCTCCCTTTTTTATTTAAAACGTTGTGTTTATTTGTACACTTTTGGCCACTTACCTCTATACCAGAATTAATCGGGTTTTCTTTGGGTTATTTCACTGATCTCAGAACAGTTTCTCAGTCTGCTGTGGTTGACTGCAAACACTGACTGCATGATGCAGATGATCTGCAGAACTTGATGCATACAAAACATGATGTTTTATCAATACAGATTCATATAATTATCTAAATGTTGTATTGTTTATGATTTATTTATTATTTTTGTTTAAATAGATTGAAATATATTAGTAATACATTTTAATATTTTATTTCTTATTCTATAAATGCATTATAACATATTTATAATGAATAATAACAGTAATGATAATTAATAACAGTAGTATTATTAATTAGTAGTATTATTATTATTCATTAATTAATAGTATTATTATTATCATTATCAGATGTTAAAAATAATTATTTATAATCTATTATTATTATTATTTAATAGTAGTAGTAGTTGTAGTAATAATATTAATAATAATTATTTATATTTAAATATATTAGTAATATATTTTAATATTGTATTTTTTTTTTTTGAGTGCCTCTGAACATCTTTATGATGAATAATAATAACAATAACAATTAATAATAATATTAGTAAAAATACCAATAGTGATTATTTATATTTAAATATATTAGTAATATATTTTTATATTAAATTTGTATTATATGACTGCCTTTTTGATCATTTTTTGATAATAATAAGTATGCATATGTTAAATATTATTATAATATCACATTGACCACAAACCTGTGGTATCACAGAAAATCTCCGAATATTTGTTTTAAGATTCAGAACAGTGGAAAGTATGAAGATGTTAACAAAAACGTATATCTACTATGTAAGGGTAAATTGAGTTCTCTACTGTCCTGTCCAGCTATAATACCATAATATGCAACTCTCTGTTCAAGCTATAGTGATTATTAAAAATCTTTCCGGTTTACTGCAGGCTATTTCACTGATCTCAGAACAGCTTCTCAGTCTGCTCTGGTGGTGCTGATCTCAGAACTGGGCCCGTGGCTTGCGAGCGCAGACGATGCGGTTCAGTGCCCAGGGGAACATGCTGCTGGAGTCAGCGTCACGACTCAGAACAGCAGCTATGTCACGCTGGGGAGGAAATTCTTCAATACGGCACATCTGCAGAGAGAGAGAGGGGGAAGATTGTATACGCTGTCAGTTTAAAGTGATATTATTCATCTCAAATGCAAACAAACACTCTCAACATCACTCTCTCTCTCTGTCGCATGTGCTAGGAGAGCTCCAGTTCTGCGCGTAGGTGTTTATTAGTGAAGCTAAGCATGCATGTGTGCTTCTTTATACGTGTATTTCGGCTTTGCCCATGAAGGAGTGTATGGTTTCTTTGAGCGGTGTAAATGTAATATGTGCACTGTGTGTTTGTGTGTGTGTGTGTGTGTTCCAGGCTTTCCCAGAGAACACTGCGTTGTGTTAGTCGTGACTGCTAAAAAGCAGTTAGCTGATGACAGGGCTGCGTTGCTAAGCAACCGGTGTCATGAGCGCAGAGGAGCCTCTCGTAGCTGGATGGTGCTATCGGTTTTCTCTCTACACACACATGCACACGCACACGCACACACTCTCAACCTACACATACACACATCCCTCTCACCCCACACAAAAACAAACAGAGATGCACACACATGCACACGCAGATTCACATATTCTCACTCACTTTACACACACACACACACACACACATATTAGACGATGCATATCAACCGTGATAGAACTGGATAGAATTATCAATATTTGCTTGTCAAAAATGTACTAGTTTAAGCTTTAGTTAAATAAGTTTTTGGAAACGGCAGAGAATTATGGCAGATGTGCAGGAATCTGCTGAAAGAAAAGGGAATGGTTTTCTGAAACTAAGTTAAACTTAATTACCACAGTGTCATTTCCCCTCAAGGAAGTTCAACCATAGCCACACACCACACCCAAAGTAACTTCTCTTTTTGTCATAATGAAATTGTTTACACACAATACTTAAAAGTCCCAGCATTTAAGCAACCCCCCCCCCCAGCAGCCTAACATATCTATATCTATATCCATATCTATATTCCATGACTCACAGCACATAATTTGGAGCAGCTTGTGACACAAGGGCACGTGCGTCATTGCGATTGTCTTCTATGAATATGCTCACCTTTATAATTTGGCTGACTTAAATAAAGATAAAATAATGAGTTAGCTGTATACAAACAGAAGAAGCTCAGAGCCAACTATATGTGTTAGATTTTACAAGAAGAAACATTAAAAAGGCTTTATGAAAAGCTTATTTGTATGGAAGCTTGTTTCTGCCACAGGATAAAAAAATTTAAAAGATAATTGCGATTTTTTTTTTTATCCCATAATTCTTAATGAGACTTTTTCTCAGTATTGTGATTTTATATCACACAATTCGGACTTTATAACTCGCAATTGCGAGTTTATATCTTGTAATTCTGACTTTATAACTCGCAATTGCATTTTTCTTTTTTGCATTTCTTAAAACTTACAAAATCAATGCCAAGGGGTAAATATAATTGAGAGTACAATTACATGTTATAAATTCAGAAGAGTATCATGCAAGTGACACAGTGAGATGGTTTTAAGAGCTTTGGAGTTGCTGGATGTACTGAGAGTGTCCAGGTAGGATTTAAGTTCCTTACAAAAAATAAAAAAGTAGGGCTTGGCACCCTGAAATTTACATTTGTGTAAAAAAAAATTCGCAAGAAAAATAAATAGGTTTATCAAAAAATATTGGTCCTTTACATCTTTTTTAAAGTTGTGCTGACCAAATAGAACATCTTTGTATGACAAAGAAAAACTCTGTAATGAAAAAGTGCGAACAAAGATACAGAAATCCTTCCAGAACAGACTTGTATATGTGCATTCCCAGAAGAGATGGGAAATAGATTCTTGTTCAGTATCACAAAAAGAACATTAAGTGTCAATATCAGGAAACATCTTTTTCAAGTAAAGCTTCACAGGATAAAAAAGATGGAGTAATTTGTAAG